CATTTTCTCATGTTTGTGTAGGGGGCAGACCCCGTCATTTTTTCTCAGCTTGGTCGGCAATAACCTCAGATGCACGGGTGCTCGATACAGTTCGAGGTTTCCAGATAGAACTTGTGGGGATATCTCACAGTATCCCGTCCCTTTGGCTGATCTGCTTCTCTCACTAGGACCGCAGGTTGATCGACAAAGAATTTATTTGGTCATGCTGTTTAGTTTGTGCAATGCTCCAGCGGTATTTCAAGACCTGACCAATGATGTCCTAAAAGAATACCTCCACACGTTCGTGTTGGTGTACCTGGATGACATTCTTATCTATTCTGCAACCTTCGTACCCATCACGAACATGTGAAAACCATGCTACAAACCCTGCTAAAAAAAATGGCCTGTACTGTAAGTTAGAGAAGTGCCAGTTTGATCAAACCGATGTACAGTTCCTCAGATATGTAATACCCCCCTCTGATTTTAAGATGGACCCACGCAAACTAGACACAGTATTACAGTGGCCATTAACCAAGGGTCTTAAAGCTGTACAACACTTTACTGGATTTGCTAATTATTATTGCAGGTTCATCAAAGGAAATTGCTCCTATTACCAACCTTTCCCGAAAAGGAGCTAACAGTAATTCATGGCCAAAGGAAGCAATAGAAGCATTCGAAAAACTGAAATCTTTATTTGTTTCAGCACCTGTTTTAGCACATCCAGATCCCTCAAACCATTTATTTTAGAGGTTGATGCATCCGAGAGAAGTGTAGGAGCCATTCTGGTTCAATGAGAAAACCATGATAAACCTCTGCATCTCTGTGGGTTTTTCTCCAAAAGCTATCTCATGGTGAGAGAAACTACGACGTCGGAAACAGGGAATTACTGCCCATTATTCTAGCTCTTAAAGAATGGAGGCATCTCTTAGAACAGCGGTTCCCAACCCGTGGTACACGTACCCCATGGGGTACAATTCAGTGCCCCGGAGGGTATGCAAAATAATTTGGAGAATGGCGACTGCACGGGTTGGGAATCCGGCCATCGGCAAATGCCCGGTTTGCCGCGATGGCCATGGGCCGACAGGGGAGATCACTGACTCTCCCCTGCCAGCTCCTGCAGGGCAAGCGCTATCCGAGCGCCGACCCAGCTGTGTGCCTTCATGGGCCGGGGGGGAGATCAAAGATCTCCCTCACCGACTGACAGGCAGCCTGCAGGAAAGGGAGGCAGAAGGTTCTTCCCACGAGTTCAGCAATTCTGAGCGTTGCCACGGGTTACCACGGCAATGCTCCGAGGATCTCGCGAGAGGACTTAACTAGAGCTGCTCACCTCCACAGGACCACCAGGTCCACTCTCCCTTCTTCTTACCTTTTTCCCTGGGAGAGGGGACATACAGTTTATTTTGTATGTATGTATGTATATATATATATATATATATATATTTTTTTTTTAGTAATCCCCCCATCCCCCGCCCCACACAGCACACACCTCACACACCCACACTACCCCTGTCACACACACAGCACCCCTGTCACACACACACACATACAGCACCCCTGTCACACACACACACAAACACACACAGAGCACCCCTGTCACACACACACTGCACCCCTCACAAACACAGAGCACACCTCACAGAAGGGAGAGTAGGGAGAGCCTGGAACAGAAGGGAGAGCCTGGGGCAGAGGGGAGAGCAGAGAGAGCCCTGGGCAGAGGGAAGAGCAGGGAGAGCCTGGGGCAGAGTAAAAAGCCTGGGGCAGAAGGGAAAGCCTGGGACAGAGGGAAGAGCAGGGAGAGCCTGGGACAAAGGGGAGAAGAGGGAGAGCCTGGGACAGAGGTAAGGGCAGGAGAGCCCGGGGCAAAGGAGAAACAGGAAGAGCCTTGGGCAGAGGGGAGAGCCTTGGGCAGAGGGAAGAGCAGGGAGAGCCTGGGGCAAAGGGAAGAGCAGGGAGAGCCTGGGGCAGAGGAGAAGCAGGGAGAGCCTTGGGCAGAGGGAAATGCAGTGAGAGCTTTGGACAGAGGGAAGAGCAGGGAGAGCTTTGGACAGAGGGAAATGAAGGGAGAGCCTGTGGTAAAAGGGAGAGCAGGGAGAGCCTGTGGTCTCCTATCATACCCCCTGAGTGTCTTATAGCTACGACAGTTTCGTAATTGTCTTCTCCGCTCCTTTGTGCCATTATAGATCAAACTCAGGCACCAGCAGAGAAGCCATCTAATAAATTGCTTGTCTCACCATCACCATGGACCGTTTCTCCAAGATGGCACATTTTAGACCTCTCAAAAAACTGCCAACATCCCAGGATCTTGTCCAAGTATTCTTAGGTGAAATCTTTAGGCTATATGGGATACTGAAAAACATAGTCTCTGAAAGAGGTAACCAATTTATTTCCCGATTTTGGCATGCTTTCTGCAAACAGTTGGGCATAGAACTTTCTTTTTCCTCTTCATAGCACCCTCAGATCAATGGGGCGGCGAAGAGAGCTAATCAAGCCTTGGGGTCTTATTTACGTTGCTTTATTGACACCAATCAGACTAACTGGTCAGAACTTCTGCCCATGGCTGAATTTGCTAGAAACAAGGTAACTCACGAGTCCTCTACTCCTTTTTTTGTAAATAATGGTTATCATCCCACTATATTACCTTCTGATTTTTCAGACACTGACATTCCTGCTTTAGAGGTCCATTTGACCTCTATCCGTGACACTTGGACTTCGGTACACGAAGCGTTACAGTCGGCCTCCAGACGTACTAAAGTTCAGGCAGAAAAGCGGCGTGGTGCCAATCCTGTCTATCAAACTGGGGACAGGGTCTGGCTTTCGACACATCATATCAAATTGAAAGTACCTTCGATGAAACTGGCTCCTTGCTTTATATGTCCTTTCTGAGTCCTTCGACGCATTAATCCTGTGTTGTACTCTCTCACCCTTCCTGCACATTTGCGGTTATCGAACTCATTCCATGTGTCTTTATTGAAACCGCTTACTTGCAACCGGTACATCAAACAGTTCGTACCTCCTCCTCTTCTGGTAGTTAGAGGCCAGGAGGAATTTGAGGTCCGCTCCATACTGGATTCCAGGGTGTCTAGGGGTGTGTTGTCTTATTTGGTGGATTGGAAAAGTTATGGACCTGAGGAATGCTCTTGGATCACTGCTGATAGAGTCCACGCTCCTCGTCTTCTCCGGTCGTTGCACAACCAGTTTCCTAACAAGCCTGCTCCTTCCCACCCGGTGGGCGGTCTTCGAGTGGGGAGTACTGTCACGGCTCCCGGCTGCATGTGGTCGCACCCAATTGGTGCGACCAAGCTGACAGGTTGGAGAAATTACCCATTCAGCAACGAGCCGGGAGCTGACCTGCTGGGGCACATGTTCCCATTACATGTGGGATCCAAAATGGCGCTGACCACGAGGTCGCAGCCATTTGTAGCTCCGCCTCCAAGGTTCAGGCGACAGTGCGTATGACATCACAACGTCGACGCACATGCACGTTCTGAGGTCAGAGACCAAGCCCTGACCAATCACAGCCCAAGGAGGGATATTTAAAAACCCTGAATTTCCCTAGTTCATTGCCCTGTCGTGATTTCTATTCCCCGTTCCCAAGAGTGCGTTTTCTTGTCCTTGATATTCCTGACCTTGGCTATTCCTGACTATTCTGATCTCTGGTTTCCCTGACTTGGCTTTCTTATCGATCTTGTGTGTTTCTGGCTTCCTTGACCTCAGCTTTCCCTTGACCATTCTCTGTCTTTTAACGTATTAATTCGGCCATTCTAAAGACCGGTTTACGTTCTATTTTTCTATTCTATGTAGATGTTACATAGTTTTGCATGTTGGGTCACATTAGTAGTCGTGACAGGTGCCTACTATTATAGTGGGACTTGGACGGGGAGTGGCTTATGTCATTATGTATACATTATTTTTTCATTCTGTTTGTATTTTTTGCTGCTATTGGTGGTAAAGAAAAGGATATGCAATACTTGCCTCCATGTCTTTAACATAATCATGACTTTTTGTCATATAATAGCTAAATCATATAATTATACTCACCAGAACAAATATAATAAGCTATAGTTGTTCTGGTGACTATAGTGTCCCTCTAATAATAAAAGGGCCGATTTCTATCTTTTATAAGTCACCTTTTATTGGAATACTCCTCATCGCAGCTTTATGGGTGGAGAGTGGTCTTTTCACTATAATGTTAAGGTGGAAGAAAGGCATAAAACTAATTCTACGTTTTATTTTGGTTCAGAAGTTGGAGCATAAGACACCTGAGGGAAAAGTACAGCAACAGCTCCCAAGTAGCTCTCATACTGGCTGCTCGAATTCAGCTATATTGCTATACCCACAGAGCAGTCACGTGGTCCTATCCTAAACAGGATTAAAGGACCACTATAGTGCCAGGAAAACATACTTGTTTTCCTGGCACTATAGTGCCGTGAGGGTGCCCTCACCCTCAGGGTGCCCCTCCCGCCGGGCTGGATGGAGAGGAAGGGGTTAAACTTACCTCTTTCTCCAGCGCCGGGCGGGGGACTCTCCTCCTCCTCGGCTGAATGCGCATGCGCAGCAAGAGCCAAGCGCGCATTCAGCCAGTCTCATAGGAAAGAATTTACAATGCTTTCCTATGGACGCTGGCGTCTTCTCACTGTGAAAATCACAGTGAGAAGCGCGGAAGCCCTCTAGCGGCTGTCAAGAGACAGCCACTAGAGGCTGGATTAACACATTTATAAACATAGCAGTTTCTCTGAAACTATGTTTATAGAAAAAAGGGTTAACCCTAGCTGGACCTGGCACCCAGACCACTTCATTAAGCTGAAGTGTTCTGGGTGCCTATAGTGGTCCTTTAAATATATTGGGTAAATGAATACTCTATCAGTAACACCGCTGCCATACTAACCATTCACTAATACAGAGCACTGCGAGAGGAGTCTGACACACCCCTAGCTCTCCGGCACGAGCCACACGCGATCACCATGGAGACGTGCCTGCTAGTAACCATTGGGCGCATATGGATTACGTAACTTCCGGCGAGACCATTACTCAGGGCTCGGACTTCCTGGATACGGTGAGAAACCCGGAAGTTAGGGGAGAGGAAGGAACCGGAGTACACAGGCAGGGGATCTCGGCGTGATGAATTGGTGAGCTAATACGCTAACAGGGAGATGTCTGGCTGGAATGGGTGGGGGATGTATCTGGCTGACCATGTATACTGCTGACTGTCTGCTTTTAGTAGTGTTGTCCTATGTGGATATTTACTAATCACATTCTACTGCAACCAGAGATCCCAGCACTTTTATATATATATATATATATATATACTGCTAGACATGTATTGTCACTGGCTCATTGTATGGAAATATAACCTTCTCAAAGGGATTGTGTGAAATGTATTTTGGTTTGGCTTGTGTGTTTTTGTTTGGTTTTTTTACACTACGTGTGTGTATACAGTATGCAATATAATCCTGGAAGTTTGGCACCCGGCAATTTGAACAATTGAGCTTGTGTGCAAGGATAAAAGTATGTTTTTTATTGTATTGTACTGGCCAGTTGAATAAACTTAATGTAGTGGATATGGTGTAAGGGCCCTAATGGTGCAGCCATTTCAACTTTTATTTTACGAAAATGCTTAGTTCCCCGAAACTCTCCTTGGGATGACATATGAAGATAATTTCTAAGGATAAGAGCAATTAAACGGCATCAAACCAAAATTTGGGATGTCATAACCTGTCTTGTGAGGGAATCTAGTCCTATGCAAAAGATTTAGCGGAGTTAACCAATACAGATGTTTACTAAGTAATGCCAATTTCAATGGCAAATCAAAATAAAACAAGTCCATAGGATATTCCAAGCTGAGGGATTTGGCTTGTCCGAGCAGAGAACTATCTGATTAGTTTCATGCTGCTCTAAAGTTTGTCAAACGATGAGGAGCATGAACCATAGAAACATTGCATGATAACCACTACATAATGTAGTAGTAATTATGGTGCTTGCAGAGTTTCTTTACCACCTTTAGCAGCATCAAAATGAATATATGAAATACAATATGCATACAGTGACCATGGTGCTGATTTAATTAGAAATTCTTGTAAACAATTCTATAAGATGCTATTGTGGCACTCGAGCATACATTTTTGATTTGAGTAAATTTGATCTTGTCTCAAGCTGTATGAGAGAAACTTGCCCTACACAAATTAAATTTTTTTGTTTTGACTGATTTATCTTTGACAGAATATCACTAATATTTTTGATGTACCCTTAATGTACATTTAAATATTATATGTACATGTAATTGACTGTATATCTATATATGACACTAAACATTTCTAAAATTATCTGACTTTGATAGTTACACTCCTACACATCTAAGCAAATGGATATAGGGTTTAATTTTAATGAAATGCTCCACGCACGTTAACCATTATAGTGTGCTATGGTTGATATGGTGCTAGGAGTGCCCTGGCTCCCAAATGTAAGTAGTCAAACACAAGTTAAGCCATTCACGTGGTTAGTAGAGGCAGAGAACTTTTGGCTGAATAAGAAGCAGGGCTTAGTGAACCCAGTGTGAGAACTGTTGTGACTACTTATGGGAGGGCGGTCCTGGCGCCATAAACACTACAGTACACTGTAGTGGTTATATTGCGTTGAGTGTTAATTGAAGGTTGCAATGGAGCATTCCTGTTACCGTAACCACTATATGGTGCTTGGACTTTTTCTTTAATCGCTTAAAAGCATAACATTTTTTTTTTTTTTGAGTAGTAGTATATGAGGTACTTCAGTTGTACGTATGCCATAACAGCAGAACTGGTGTTTTCAGGCACTTTTTCTTTAGACCACTTGTTAAAAGACTAATTCTATATTTCATGGAGAACACCCTAGTCCTTTATTAGTTTGTCTAGTGAAAGAATATTTTATTTAAGTATTGGTATTTTTTAAGTAAAAATAAAACTGCTGTTGATTACTAAAATATAAAAAGTGTAACTGCAAAAAAGTGTGTGTAACAAAGAGGGCTGCAGTGGGGCCAATTAATTTTTTGTTACAATACTTTTAATTTTGTTTTGAAAAATCCAATGCTCTCGTGTGTGTGTGTGTGTATGTGTATATATACCCTGTTTGACAATATATATACACACACACACACACACACACACACTCTACAAGGATTATTCAGCTTTATTGCTCAGATTCCATAAAGGTCAGTCAACGTTTCAGTTCTCTACAGGAACTTTCATCAGGACAGTATGGCTTACTATATATACTTGTAATAATTTTTTTTTAGTACAACATTCTCCTATTCACTAATCAAATATTTAAAAGATGAAGGAAAACTGTTGTCTCCAATGTATTTCCAAAGGTCTGCACTAGTTTCAGCACAATGGGCACTATGTATCTTTGTACTTCTTGGGACTTACTTTCCTAGAGTCAATATATTTAGCTGTAATTTCATATGGGTCTATCTATTTTATTATTCCTGTAGTAGGTTGAAACAATGACTGCTTATGAAGTAGAGGGAAACTTCAGTGGGTTTGAGGATGATTTGTGCATCAAACAACCCAGTCATTTGGCAGGGTGCGGAGTTCTGGGTATGCCGATGGAATGGGTGATGTGCCGTAAATTTCCTTTACTGTGCATCAACAACACGGATTTTATCTCTTATCTGTATTAAGTGTTACCTGATAATATGATTGTGGCAAACGTGTCGTGCATGTTGGCTTCTGCTAAGGCTTCTTACCAATGGTCTCATTTGGCCCGCGCTGGCCCTGTTTGACAAGGAAGAAAAAATTGGTTTTGGATAATTCAAAAGTGAAAATTTCTATAAATGTGAATGAATTCCTGTTATAGGTTAGTTTAGTGAGTTTCAGACATGAATAAACATTTTTTTGGTAGAACATATGTTGTGGGTAGCAATTGTTTATTTTCCTAGCTGCGTGATGGGATTGATATCCTACGCCTTTAGATACCCATGCATCACTTAGTCTTTCTTGGCACTGCAAGGGTTACATAGCCTAGCTCAGATACAGCATCCCTCTCTCCACCCAGCTAATTCTTGGATATATCTGGCTGTTCTCCAACTCAAAGAGAAAAATATCAAATGCAGCCAAAAAAGCTAAGCAAACAAAATTTAGCTGAAAATTATATATGTATAACAGCCGTTTCCTTATTCACCCTGTTCTGAAGAATATGATACAGGCTATATATCTACAGTGATAGTGGACTGGCATTCCACTTAAGAAAGAAGATTATCTACATACAAATATGACCGTGCAGGGATATAGAGAGCTTATTGTTCTATAATGTAGAATTTTTTTTTTCTTCTTTTTTAAAAGTGCACCTGTCTTTTTTTTATTTTTTTTTATTTTTATTACATGGTTGCACTACTTGATTAGCAGGTGACAAAAAAACCCAGACCACCGTGAGCGAAAACCCTCACTGAGCCCGTATTGGTTGAGGAGTAATTAAAGGGGGTGGTAACCCCAGATTAATATCAGAAGAAAGAAAATCATAACGAGCCTTCCAAAATGAAAGGCCTAGAACCGATACAATTACTCACAGAATTTGAATATTATCAATTGAACAATATAGGGATAAATGTTAAGAAGAGATGGTTATTAGTTAAAATGGTACTGCTTTATTAGATCCCACGTAGGGAAAACACACTCACTGATATGTCACAAACACAAAAAAAAAACCCACGTAAAATGAAAAATCATTAAAATTAGTTAAATACAAAGAATGTTTAAAGATTAGGAAGAGACAAATATCTATCTAGGCTTATACTCAGAACCCTGTGCCAAATGACAATGTTGCAAAACCTCGTATCTCACTTATTTATTGAAATAAACATACCAGAGTATTGTTGCAATTTAGATGGCTACAGATGTTATTAAAATGTTGTTACATATCATAAGATGTGCAGAGTTAGAGCTTTAATAAAATATATATAGATCAGAGGCAAAATTAGCAATGTGCTTAGATAGGGAGGTAATATATTTCTGAGATAGAAGTGAGGATGCAAACTGTTAGCAATTAGAAAACCACCTAAATGGTAGCTATAATATCCCTATATTAAGGGAGTGAGTATGTTTTTCCTACCTGATTAGCAGGTGAATTTATTTCCAAACACATTTTTCAGTACTGACATATTGCAGTGTGGCCTCTCTGTTCGACTGCGTGCACGGCTGTCCACCCCTGATTATATTATTTTTTTGTTAGCATAGTGTATAGAGTGGATATCATCTGATGATCACTTTACATTTTGTTTTTTTTTAATCCTTTTTATTGTCCATCTATTTTTCACTACACTACATCAGCCAGAGAGCCGAAAGCGCCTACTTAGAATTGTTTATTGGCTCTGTTGAACAAAGTCCTGCACTCTCGGGTTTAGCACAGCGTCCGGCTCTCTGTCTGCCATAGTGGAGACAGGCAGTGGCATCCGATGGACCCCAGGTAAGAAATTAAACAGTAAGCAAAATAAATAAAACAATTGTAGAAATGCCCAATGTCATATTTTATCCCATGTATTTTCACCAGGAGGTTCCATGAAAAGTGCTGTTTATTGATTTTGTTTGTTCATACAAGGAAGTAAAAACAGACCACATAAATGCAAAACAATCTATTAATTCACAGTAAATAACAGGTCTGCAAACTTGATATAGAGGGGACCATTAAAAAATGGGGGCGGGGGCGGGGTGGAAACTATAGGAAAACTAGAGAAATTGCGTGTGTTCCACCAACACTTCCTAAGCAGCTGAAGTATCTGAGGTCTAGAGTTCATGTAATGCTCCGGTAATTCATTTGCTTAGTACAAATTATGTTATTCCCTAAACCTAGCTTTGATAAAGGAAATTGAATATTTTGGTCAAAAATGTATTTATTATTTATTTACTACTTACCTATTTTTGCCTAAAATGTTAAATTTCCTTGTCAAGTTGCTGTGTTATTCGGTTTAGTGAAAAGGCTGCCTAAAACAGGACAGACCTGATTTCAGACTAGATCTTCGTTCCCAGTGATGATGTCACCTCCCTGGACTGATCACTATTTAATTTTTGTAAGTTGTGATCTCGAGGTGATGGCTCTCGGTCATAGATCCTACTCTGTTACATTCCTCCCATACTAACAACTGGGTTATAAGTGTTGAAAGCTGTTTGATTTTTTTTTTTCATTGAACAGGTCAGCAAGACATGACAAAACCATGAGAAAAGCTGTTGAACTACATAGTTTAAGACGATGGATTACTGAGAGTAGTCTACTTAAAGCGACTGTCACCTTGCAGGTGACATTCCCTTTGTGTGCGGTGACCGATAGGGTGCAGATGAGGAGAGTTATATTTACCTTAAACACTCTGTTGCAGACACTGCTAAATTCTTCCTTCTGCTCCTGACGCGTCATCCATCAAGATACATGTTATTGATGTACTTTCACAGGTGACTATAACAGAGGTCAGTGAAGGAACCTACAAGATTGAAGAATCCTCCATAGACCAACCTGCGAGATGCACAAGAAGGAGCCTGACTCCCACAGCCATTGCTAGAGATTGTCCACTGTGAAAGTTATCAAAACTTGTCTGTGGGAACTGAAGCTCAATCCTTTGTCAGGTTTTCTCCACTTTGTCACATGATATCTTTTAACTGTGTTGAAACTTAAGTGGAATCCCAGCACAGACATTGTGTGTTTTGTAAAGATCATATTTAGCATGAATTACTAAGACATTTTGTGGTGACAGTGCCAGTTTAATTTCAACTGAAATAAGGTGGCACATCAGGTATAAACTTGCCTGTTGCATTTTCATGGATGCCTTTAAATCTCTCCTATTCATTGACTTGATCTTTCTGTGATATTCTGGACAGTGCAAGATCCTCTACACTGGTCATTGTAGGTCAGGACATTGTGGTTTCAGTGTCCTGTGTAGCTTGCTTGTTTGCCATATATTCACATATTTCATTAAAGGAGAATATAGCATTAGGAATACAAAGCTGTATTCCTAACACTGTAGTGAAAGGGTTTAAAAAAAAAAAAAAAAAACCTTATTCCAGTTATGGTTCCACCTCCTCCAACATCATCGGTAGGAGGGAACCTAATGTGCATGCACAGCTAATGCCGCACACGCTTTAGGACTTCCTCGTAGGACAGCATTGAATGAATGCTTTCTGTAGTGCAGCTGCAATCCTGAGATGACTATCTCCGCTGTCGCCCTCAGGAGCTGGAAGAGAAGCGCTGTTGAGTGATTATAGCCCATTCCCCCAGTAACTGGATGACGCACAGTTCTGGGAGGTTTATTATGCCACACTCTGCCTTTTATGCACAGACCCCCAGCATGGAGTCCCCATAGTAAAAAGTACAAACTCCTCCCAGGCATCTCTGTGTCTGTCACGGGTGGCGGTACGGAAACCGGGACCCCTGAGTGCCTGATGAAAAGTTGGGAGTCTTCAGCGTGGAAGTGGATTATCAGGGTCTGGTGCAGGGTAACCACACGCCCTCTGGTGTTGAGCACCAGCGTTTGTGCGGCCACATACCAACAGCTACTGCGGATCTGAAGAGCTAGGAGCTAGATGATATGCAGACCTCCCAGGAACTAGATAGGGAGGCTCTGCAGCAGGAATGTATCCAGTACAGAAACAAGGCAAGGCAAGGCTAGGATAGTCACCAAACATGAAAACAAGACAGAACTAGTAGAACCCAGAACCAGAGAAGGATAGGAAGCTAAACCCAGAACATGTACACAAGACATAAGGGAGACATGAACATAACATGGCAGGACAGGACTGTACATGGACTTGGAATACAAACTAAAACAAGACAAGATATGTTAGGCAGGAGAAGGGGGGCCGGGCCGCCAAGCAGCATGGCAGCATAGTAACAAGGCTTTCGGGAGTCCCGAAAAATGGCATATGACTCACACACAATCTGCCCCAAAACTGGAAAGCACACGGTAGTGATACGGGGCACCACCCAAGCTACCTTACCATACCAAACCGCAGCCACAATTTGCATCAGGAGCACCGAAACAGACGAACCCGGCCTACACACCAGCCTAAGCCTAAACATGGGCAACCACAGACCAGGAACTGCCACTTAAGTGCTGGACCGGAGGAGCAGACATACAGGTCGCGTGGACCTTGACAGGGATCTACGCGGGCAATACCTCAAAAAGATATCAAAATTATACAGGAACACCACTCACCTTTTATATCTCTGAATAGCCCGGATCTGAGCACCCAAGTTGTCCAAATAGCACTCCGATCCATTCGGTAGAACGGAATCGCCATTCGGGTAAAGTTTTTCTTTCAGGGGTTCCTGTGTGAACAACGATGAATGCTCCCCCTGGCTCTTATGGAGTGAATGCACCCCCCCAGTCGGTAGTTCCTATCTCCCAAATGTCTGTGGTCGGGAAGTTGGACGGACAGCGATACAATCTTTGCTGGCATTTGCGAGATCATGTAGCCGAAATGGGTTCCATGTGCTCGAAGACCAAATACCTCTGCCTATGTTCGGGAGACAAAATGGAACGAATGGTGGCCACCAAGGGGAAAGCAGTCAAGTTAATCACTTAATTGTGGTTAACAGCCAGGGGTGGTTAGTGTTAGCTAATAAAAGGGGGACCACACATGTTCCGTCCACAAACAGAGGGATACACATGAGTTTGGGAAACTTGGAGATAGGTTCAAGCAAATAAAGGGAATTTACACGGTCCGACACATTTTATTATGGGAAATTAAGAAAAGCTTTTAATCATCCACTCCATAAAACACCAGGAAGCACCTTTTAGTTCAGTAGCCTCCCATACATAAAAATCTTCTTTCTTTATGAATGGGGAGGGACGGATTGGCTTAGAGCGTCATCTGACTGCTTTAGCAAATAAGCGGCACACCAGCCTAGCAAGAACTCCTTGCTTCCTGCAACTCTGATTCAGAAGCCAGGTTCGGCCTGGAGATCGGCACTGGAGGCAACATTTTAAAGGTTAAACCATTCAAGAATGACTTAACCCCTTAAGGTAAGTGTGTCCAGGGGCCTCCTGGCACCATTACAACTTCATTTAGATAAAATTATGTGATCCTTTTAAGATTTTTTTATTTTTTTATTTTTTAAGCAATACAAACAAATCCAGAAAAATAACAGTCAAAAGACTAGGAATATTTTCCACATCAGAAAAAGGTTTCACAGAAAATCGGGTCCCAAAATGTGAGTGGAACTTTTGAACCCTGTATAAATCATACATGCATGCATAAACCTATCTAAAAGTGACTCTGTCAAGCACGCATTTTGCATGTTTTTAAATCTCGTTAGCATAACATTTTAAAACATTTCTTCAATATGTCCTTGGAAGCTGCTTATTCAATTAGCCTACTGACGAAGGTCCATTTTTTTTTTTTTTTTTAAATTAATGTTTATTTTTAGAGCAATTTCATGTTGACAGTGTGGCCATTATTATTATTATTATTATTATTAACAAAAATATGTATTATTATTGGCATTTATATAGCGCCAACACATTCCGTAGTGCTTTACAATATTATTAGAGGGGGGGATTTAACTATAAATAGGACAATTACAAGAAAACTTACAGAAACGATGGGTTGAAGAGGGCCCTGCTCAAACGAGCTTACAGTCTATAGGAGGTGGGGTATAAAACACATTAGGACAGGAAATTGCAGTCAAATTACGTGGGAGTGAAGCAGAGCTGGAGGAGAGAGTAGAGTGCTGCTCTTTAGGAGAGAGCAAGAGAGAGGTATGTGAGGTAGAGGTTAGTCTGGGAGGCCATAGGCTTTCCTAAAGAAATGGGTTTTAAGGCACTTCTTAAAAGATGCAAGACTAGGGGAGAGTTTGATGGCGGTAGACAGGCTATTCCATAGGAAGGGAGCCACCCGCAAGAAGTCCTGCAAGCGCAAGTTGGCTGTATGGGTGCGAGCAGCAGACAGAAGAAGGTCACGAGCAGAGCAGAGAGACCGAGAAGGGGCATACCTATGGATCTGTGAGGAGATACAAGAGGGGCTAAGACTATTCAGTGCTTTGTAGGTATGGGTTAGCACTTTGAATTGACTCCTATAGTATAAAGGAAGCCAATGTAAGGACAGACAGAGGGGTGAGGTGTGAGAGGACCGACTAGAGAGGAAAATCAGTCTGGCGGCAGCATTCATTACAGACTGTAGTGGGGCAATACTGCTATTGGGAAGACCAATTAGGAGAGAGTTACAATAGTCCATGCGAGAGACTACTAGAGCATGGACCAGCTCTTTAGTAGCATCTTGTGTAAGAAAGGGGCGGATGCGGGAGATGTTTTTTTTAGGTGGAATTGGCATGAATACATGCTAGTCATTAACCCCTTAACGACGGCTGGTATGCTATGCCGTCCTTGGGGACCCGGCTCTAAATGGCAGCGGCATAGCACTTCCCCGCCGTCCTATGTACTTACCCGCAAGCCGGCGATTATGGTGGGGGGGACTTATCTGGCATCTCAGGGAGTCCCCCTGCTGCCGTTCCGGTCTTCCTGGGCCATGTGATCGCGAGGACCTCACGATCACATTGACGGAATAGCCGTCCATAGCAGTGCCAGCAGAGGGAGTGCCTGGAATGACAGGTAGTCCCCGTGCTGCCTGTAAAAAGTAAAATAAGTTAAAAACTGTTTAAAATGAAATAATATATATTTAGATCACTATATACCTATATATAATTAAAAGTAATTTTAAAAAATTAAATATATTTGTAATAAAATTCTACGTATATATTTATGTAATATTTTTACATAATTAGGTCATTTTTATTAATTACAATTTGCGGGACCTGTCTGACAACCCAGGCAGAAAGTCCAGGGAATTTAATTTGCTGGCACTATATTTAACCCTGTAACTTTCCAAGACACCATAAAACCTGTACATGGGGGGTACTGTTTTACTCAGAAGACTTCGCTGAACACAGATATTAGTGTTTCAAAACAGTAAAATGTATTACAACGATGATATTGTCAGTGAAAGTGAAATTTTTTGCATTTTTCACACACAAGTGGCCCTTACACTGACTATATAATTGTTGTGATACGTTTTACTGTTTTGAAACACTAATATTTGTGTTCAGCGAAGTCTCAGAGTACAACAGTACCCCTAATGTACAGGTTTTATGGTGTTTTCAAAAGCTAGAGAGTCAAATATAAGGCTTGCGTTTCAGTTTTTTTACATTGAAATTCGCTACTAAAAAAGACTGGACATACCCCATTTGCAATACCTTGGGTTGTTTACTATTGCAAATGGTATGCCATCATTGGGGTAATTCTCATTCCTGGGCTACCTTACGGTCTCAAAGGCAACATAACCAATCTTTTTCAATGTGGAAAAAACAGAAAAATGTAACATGATATATTTGACCCTGTAACTTCCCAAAACACCATAAAATCTGTACATAGGGGGTACTGTTATACTCGGGAGACATTGCTGAATACAATTATGTTTTTTTTGTTTGTTTTTGCAGTAAAAGCAAACCGTATTATGACATTCACAGTTAAAATGTCATGTAGAACTAAAAAAATAACAATTTCTTATTTTCTCCCATTTTCTTCATATTAAATTGTTCCATAGCTAAATATTTGATGTTAAATGAAAGCCCTGTTTCCCCACAAAAAATGATCTATAATAAGTGTGGGTGCACTTAATATGAAAGAGGTGAATTACAGTTGAACATAACTTCAAATTCCAGGTTTTGTTTTGATCACAACGTGTACATTTGGCTTAGTCTTTAACCCCTTGACGACCGATTACGGTTTAGGACCGTCATCGGAAAAATCCCCTTGGGGATCGAGTGATCACATGGCCGCGGGGTCCTGATATGCCAAGGGGAGACTGCCCAGAGAATCACGCAAGCGCCTCTTGCGGCTGTCAATGAGACAGCTGCTAGAGGATTTGGGGGAAGGCTTAACCCATTCATAAACATTAACACTGCTATGTTTATAAAAGAATGGGTAAAGCCTAGCTGGACCTGGCACTCAGACCACTTCATTAAGCTGAAGTGGTCTGGGTGCCTAGAGTGGTCCTTTAATGTAAAAATACACTTATATTTAAATTACACACGTGTGTGTGTGTGTGTGTGTGTGTGTGTGTGTGTGTGTGTGTATGTGTGTATGTATATATACACAAACACAATATATATGAATATATATTGCGTGTGTGTGTGTGTGTATATGTATATGTATGTATGTGTATATTATCATAAAATACAAATATGTTAAAAAAATTAAAAATAATTTTTAATAATTAAAAATAAATGTCATTTTATTCTAACAGTATTATATTAATATATTTATATCAAAATACACTTATAATGTAATGATCTATATATCTATGTATAAATAAAAATATGAAATATACATAATTACATAATTTCATAAATATACACGTAGACGTCAAATATATAAATATGTATATATATTAAAATTATACTTGCATATTTATGTGATATTTTTACCTAATTAAGTAATTTTAATGATTGCAATTTGAGGGACTTGCCTGCCAACCCAAGCCAAAGGTCCAGAGAATTTAATTTGCTAGCACTGTGTTTAACCCTGTAACTTTCTATGACACCTTAAAACCTGTACATGGGGGTACTGTTTTACTTGGGAGACTTTGCTGAACACAAATATTAGTGTTTCAAAACAGTAAAACCTATCACAGCTATGATATTGTCAGTGAAAGTGAAGTTTTTTGCATTTTTCACACACAAACTGCACTTTTACTGATGATATTATTGCTGTGATACATTTTACTGTTCTAATACACTAATATTTGTGTTCAGCGAAGTCCCCTGAGTATAACAGTACCCCACATGTAGAGGTCTTATAGTGTTTGTGAAAGTTACAGGGTCAACTATAAGGCTTGAGTTTACTTTTTTTTTTTTTTTATTGAAATTTGTCAGATTGGTTAGGTTGCCTTTGAGAGCGTATGGTAGCCCAGGAATGATAATTACCCCCATGATGGCATACCATTTGCAAAAGAAGACAACCCAAGGTATTGCAAATGGGGTATGTTCAGCCTTTTTTAGTAGCCACTTAGTCACAAACACTGGCCAAAGTTAGCGGTTTTTTCATTTTTAACACACAAACAAATAGAAATGCTAATTTTGGCCAGTGTTTGTCACTAGGTGGCTACTAAAAATGACTTGACATACCCCATATTAAATACCCTGGGTTGTCTACTTTAAAAAAAAAAATAAAAATGTACATGTGAGGTGTTATTCAGGGATTTATGACAGATAACGGTGTTACAATGTCACTGTTGATAAATGTAAAAAATACACACACACACACACCCACCACACCACACCACACCACACCACACCACACCACACACCACCCACCACGCAATTTCCGACTTGTATGTATAGGCCTATAACTTGCACACAAAAAAAGCAATAAAGCATTTAAACTCAGGACAAAATTTTTGAATCTATTTAGCAGTTTTTTTTCATTAGCTTTTGTAGATAAGTAAAAGTCCAAAAACATATGTGAAACTAACAATGTTTGTACTTACCTTTCTGTTATACGCAATACGTATTTGCTTCTAAAAAAGTACCTTGTAACTCACAGACTTGCCAAAAATAAAGAATAAAAAAAAAAGTCCAACAACATTTTTTTTGTTTTTCACCATATTTTATTATTATTTTTAAAATAAAATATATGACATGATACAAATAATGGTATGTAAAGAAAGCCCTTCTTGTCCTGAAAAAAACAATATATAACTTGGATGGGAACCATAAATGTGAGAGAGGAAAATTACAGCTAAACACAAACACCACAAAAGTGTCAAAACTGCTCTGGTCCTTAACGTACAACATCGCAAAAACAGGCCGGTGCTTAAGGGGGTTAAACAAACTGAATTGAGTAAATATGCTATCTCAGTATATGAGCATGTTTGATAATACAGCAATAGGTTCTACTTTTTTCTTTTTTTTTCTTTTTTCTCTCCCAGTTGCTTAATTTGGTTTATTCTTATACTTCGTTCTTTAATCATATGTTGCGCCATGCGTGCATATTTCATCCCCACGCCCTTTTATTTATATATATATATATATATATATATATATATATATATATATATATACACACACACAAAAATAGAAAGGCATTAAGTCCCCCCCCAAAAAAATATTTTTCATACTTGAAGCTGTTGTATATCCCATCTAACAATAAGTATAGGGCCTATATTTCAATAAAATACAGATTGAGGAAATAAAATGCCATGAGCCCAGCTTCATTAGCAAACAAAAAATGTATAAACCTGTAGCCACTTTTGAGCGGATTGTTATGTCAGCACATGTCAGTGTTGGGGAAACTATCCAAAGAGCAACATGGATGTGCATTATGAAGTCATAACATGTTGATGTCAATATATTTTTTTCCATTTTATATTTTCCACATTTGTCTATTGTAAATGAAAAATAGTCAGCAGCAAAAGAGCTATGAAATAAATATTGCTTGTCTGCGATATTTTCTCATTTCTGGTGGTGAAATTTCCAGACTTCTATAAATAATACATTATCATTCTAGTGAACTCCTGACCATAGAGGAAGTTCCAGGGAGGAAGAAGATCCTACCAGTTAACTTCACATAATTGTGACATATTTGTATAAGTTTCCATTCAGAATATAGCCTTGTACTGTAAGTTTTTATTTTTTGGGGGTACATTTGTTTGTTATATTTGTTATTGTTTGTATACGTTCTTCAGAGTAAACCAGTACAGTACGCAGATCATGTATGTGTGTGGACTTACTGCTGCCTCTGTGACTGTTCTGGAGATGTGCTGTAGATGTGGGCCTATATTTGAATTTCAACGTGTCGACTCTTTATTTATCTATTAACTTCCTATTTTTTTTTCATCTCCCACAAGCAGGGAGGGAGTTAAACACCACTTTCTTTAAAGATTTGTTAAAAGCAGTGATATATCTGTATATTTTTGCTGTGGTAGATTGTGCTTTCCACGAGTCCATCTGGAGATCTGTACTGTAAACAAGCTGTGAGTCAGGCCTTCTAAATATACCAAAGGCACAGCCAGCCTCCAAAAGCCATTCCAGCCACTGCTGCCATCCTATTGGCTGCTGAGAAGATGGTTGCCATGTGCATCTAGTGTGTTTTTTTTTATAATTATTTTTTTCTTTTTAATTATCCTCTGCTGCCAGAGAGCTGCTGGTGCCAAGACTCTGGCACATCCCGTTAGAGGGATAAATAAAGTTTGGTGAGGGAGGTTAATGACTGTAGTTGTGAGCATACTTGGAAGGGAGGAAGTGTAGATTTACCTTTTAACATTTACAAATATGTGCTTAGGGGTTAATTTAGCACATATTGTGTCAGTATTATGTGGCTCGACATTTAGGACCATGTTGCTGGACCCCTAGAATTATGCTTGTATATGTTTTCTGTTCCTTAATGGTTGGTTGTTTTTTGCTTTAGCTTTGTGAGAGAAACATAGTTATTTGGATAGAAATGAAAATCACTGTCTTAAATGAGCCATTCTCTCCTCTTTAGTTCTCTGTTCTTCTCACGGTACAATCCTCAACATTCAGATATATCTCCACCCCTGTATAGAATTGCTGTGAATGCACCCTTCTTTTACTTTTGCCCTTTTTTTTGTGTGTGTTTGTTGCTAAATTGGGTTTTTCCTGATCTGGTTATACCTTTTATAGGACACAACTTTTTATAAGTGAAAGAAATATAATACAGTCTATTTTCAACGCAAATGTGACCATTTGGTGTGTTAATGCAGGTGAATTTAGGGGTTGCAGATTTAAGGAGAAAAGCCTATATTTAGGTGACAACCGGAATTGATTTATAGGAGCCTACTGTTCTAAATTATGTCCCTATTGTACTATGTTGCCCCTGTCTAAGATCTAAGTGGCCTAATGTGTGAACATAGTGATGTTATTAGATTTGGTTTATGACATCACTGTTGTTGTACGTCATATGCAAGCTTATTTGAGCAGGTTTTTTCTCTGATATATTTATATCATTCTGCAGTGCTGCATGCTACAATGGCACATATATATTATATATTCTATTGTATTGAAAACTACTAATAAATATATAAAGTTGCACTTCAACATGGGATTTAGTATAAATGGTGAATCCGCTTTAATCGCCTGGGTTAGAACGACGTTGAAGGATCCATTCATTAGGAGCCAAAAAACTAAACAGGAAATTACTTTCAAATAGAGTTCAGTTCATTCACCAAGTTCACTGTCATACTGAACTTGGCACAAATAAATAGAATGTGTAATTGAAGGATAACTATCTGTGGATAAATTGCTTGATTGAGTAGCTGTTCAAATTGATTCTCCGTATGATTACTATGTGTCCTTATTTTTAGGACCAGCACATTTCACAGAGCTGTACAAACCTACAAGCTTCTAGTCTAGTGAAGTTATCTTCCTCTAACACAAGTTGAATTTGTCAGTTTGATCATAAAGATGCAGAATTTAGTGGATCAATATAAATTCATCTAATTTGACTAATTCACTGTAATTTGGCTGCTATTCAGGTTGAGAGGAAATATTCTAACTGGTTGACTTACGGATTAACAAACTTGATGGGCGAGGAAACCATAGCTCCTAAAAATCTTACTGCTTGCTTTTAAAATTTATAGGTAGTTTAAATGGACTTCTCACAAGACTGCTAAAATGAACATTACCCAGTTGCTTGCCACTGATTGCTGTTTGACGTGTACTGACGACTCTCATTCACTCACACAAGTAGATTTTAAAAATCATTTTGAAATGAATGATATGCTGCCAATGCTTACTTCTGTATGATTCAAGCTGTGTGCAGGGCTATGGGAAATGTAGGTTACCTCAAAATATACTCTTCCCAGTACTTCATAAAGAGGCTAGAATTTGCTAGATTTAGTGCTTGGTAAAGAGGCTAGATCTGTTTTTAAAATCTTTTTTATTGCATCAACCATGCTTATTTAATGCATATAAATTAGAAGATTTTAGCATGGCAGTCTTTCAGAACTATATGTTGAATTTTTACCCAGTTTTGGTTATTCCTATAATGCCATATCATTGTGATAACCTGGACATATTCCCATTCTAGCATTTTGTAACAGAAATTTAAGAATAAGCTTTGTTCAAATACCGATAAACTTTAACAGTAAAATGAACACTCCAAGCATTATAACCGCTAGAGCGTGCCGAAGTGATTACAGTACTAGGAGTGCCCTGGCACAACCCCCATTATAAGAAGTCACACTGTTTTTAGAATGGTTTGAATTCTTACCTTTTGGTGTTCCTGGTATCTCTCAGCTCAAAGCTAGACCTGGTACAGGGCTTAGCTCATAGGATGAGAGTGAACATATGATGCTCTCAGCCAATGAGCTCATCCTGCAGGACTTAGGAGAGATAATGTAAGCTTCTGAACTAAGTGTCGGTGGGCCTATGGTAAACCATGCTGCAGTGGTTATGGTGTTGGGAGTGTTCCTTTATATTATGAAGTTAAACTGATCTTGAAGTATCCCTAGCCGATCAGAGGTTTGGCAGTCGTTGCATTACACTAAACTGTAAAGTAAAGTCCACATTTGTATTGTTCTAAGAATGGAAAGCAGTAGTACATCCCTGGTTAGACTGTTCAGTGAACAGTAATGTTCTCTATAGCTGGTTCCTGTCAGACAGCTTGTGTTCCTTGTAAGGAATGGAGAAAAGTGTCTGTGGTTTAGACATGTGCGATAAGTAACTATTCATTAGTGGTCAGACCTCAGTCTGTGTCCGGCACCCTTACCAATTCCTGCCTTCCTGCCTGGTTTATCTGTTTGCTTGTGTTTCTCTTTATTTATACACAAGCCAAATCTTTTAGAACACGAAGCATTTCTGTTCAGCATTTCCATTTTTAATATGTTCTAGAATCTGCATTTTCTGATCGATCACTGGCTGAATGTTTCAGAGCTCTGTAGTGTGGGGAAGTTTTGAGAATGGGTATTTTGGGAGCTCTGCAATTTGTAAATTGGGGAAGTCTTGGGACTGGAATTATGATCATCTGTAAAATAAATATATATATAATTTGCTTGTATCATGTACTTTGTACCCAGCTCTATGCTTAGATTGGTTTGTTTCTGCATTATTATTTTTTTTGCAATTTTCTTTGATTTTTAAAATGAAAAGAAATGTACAATAAGTTTAAACGTATGATTACTATTAAAATTTTCCTGTGAAGGCTGTTTAGATACTTACCTTAGAATTTATAGCATTTTGCTGCAAATCCCAAAGGTTTTTGGAGACCAGTGGCAGTGTGTCCTTGGCCAATTGTGTTCCTCTTGTTGTTTTCAATGGGAATGCTGCATATATCCCATAGTAATTTGCATAATTATTACAAAAGTTATTTCCATAAATGAATGTACTTTACAAGCCTTTTTTTTTTTTTTTTCTCGGGGGTTGGGATATTCTTCCAATGTTTATCAATAGGATGATGAGCAAGAGAAACAGAGCCCCCCTTCCAAGTGGTGTAATTGATTATAGCACTTTGAGTGTCCCCTTAAATGCATGTTTAAAGCACAATTCCCATGCTTGTTGACTAAAAAAACTGAGAGCCTTAATGATGAAACTCAACTGTTATTAATAGGTGAATATTTTCCACTCTTGGTTGTTATACAGTCACAACCCTTTGTATATTTTCGTCTCGTGTGTAATTACGTAATGCGTGATTTGCTTTTACTTTCTGTTTTGTATCATAGACTTGCTGAATAAAACAATGTCCTCACAACCCATTAGTGGATATATCAACATTCCATTGATCTTTTTTTAAACATGTATTTGTATATATGCATGTTTTCTTTGGGTGTATATATAGAGGGGGGAGGCAGCTTGCAAAAGGTCTGCAGCCTTTGCAAACTCTCCGCTCTATCCCTGGCATAAACTTTTATTCTGTCCCAGGGGATTACACCAATCTATGTGCTGGAGCCCTGAGTACACATACTAACGCTGCTCCATCGGGGGGAGGCAGGTTATTGCTAGCCCAGCACCTGCCACTTCTGTTAGCCCTGTTTAGGTAACAGAAGTGGAAGAATATCTCGGTGTCTGTGTGATAGCTGGCCGGGTTGTTTTTGTGAAGCTTTACTAAAGTGCCGATTTTTTTTTTTTTTTTATTGAACGCTGCACTTTTTCAAAACTGAAGTGCTGTATGTGTCTGGAGCGTTTCTTTAAAATTTTACTTAAAGGGGCACTGTAGGCACCCAGACCACTTCAGCTCATTGAAGTGGTCTGGGTGCAGACTGCCCGTGGAAGAACCAGCCACCTATTTGTATTAAAGACTAAGTTGGTTCGACACTTTGGGGTTCCTGAACAGATTAAAGCTATATTGTTCGTATGTCAAACCATCTACTGAACAGTGGGACCACCCAGGGGAGTCGTGTGCCTCTAATTGACGGTATTCACACGAAGTGGTCGGATGGGTGGCCGTCATTTGTATAACCGAACATGTGACGGTGGCCATCTTTGTTCACGAACACAGACAACGGTGTTTGGTCATCGAGTGCATGGAACTATAATCAGACACTCGACGGCACAAACTCCGCTGAACTACCATCCCTTTGTGTGTTCGTTTCAATTCACCTATAAAGATCGGCATTCGTATGGACTAAACTACCGAACACAGGGCACATGAGCCCCTGTTACCCGGACAGTTCCCTTTGTTATTTTGATGGTGGATACTCTCTAAAGAAGACGGTCAAAGCATAAAACCATCTGGAACTATTTTGGGGTTTCACCTCGTGCTTGACCCGTCTAAACTTCACTCAAATGGCGTTCCTAATCTACCGAACGGATCTGAGTGACATTTCGACAGAGTGAATGCTCAGATTCATACTATTCGGTGAAGTATCTTTCGTGGAGTTCTGAACAATATTAATGTGTTATGAGGGTTTGGAATATTGTATATTTTTTGTACCTGGGAAATAATTTAATTAAAGCATTGTTCTTACTCCATTATCTCCCAGGTACAGATGAGTAGTCTGGGAAATGTTGCTTTTCTCTCTGTCCCCAACAAGGGTCACCAGGGTAAAACCCCTGGAATGTAATTAAAGAACCCCCTTGCATGGGGAGTTGCATAAAAACCAGCTGTGGCTGAATAAAAATCAGTTGACTCCCAAACCTGTGTATCGTCCGGTTATTGGGGAATTGGGATTGTTTCGCTGCACTGCGCTTCTCTTTGATGTTCTACAGTCTACCAGCGGAGATATTGATTTTTAATATTACAGCTCCGCTACACTCCCATCAGCCTTAATGCTTTTATAAACTGCAGTAATTACCTGCTAGGGTTAAGTCCTCCTCTAGTTAACCGCTAGTGGGATTTCTGGGTTCTTAGACGTCTTTTGGTTGCCTAAACAACGCTGGAAGTATTCACGCTATGCATGAGGACTTCCAGTGTTGCCGGAACCCCCATTGGAAAGCACTGAATAATACTTTCCTATGGGGAGATCCTAGTGTGACATCCGCCGGTGGGGGAGGAGCTGAGCCAGTGCCAAGGGACATCGGCACTAGACCCAGGTAAGTGACAGAAGGGGTTATTAACCCCTTCTCCACCATGAAGGGGGCCTTGAGAAAGAGGGAAGCTATAGTGCCAGGAAAATGAGTTTGTTTTCCTGGCACTATAGTTTCCATTTAAGATTCAGGTCCTAATTTCTCAAAAAAAAAAAAAAAAAAAAAATTTAAACTTGACTGTAAAACAGCAGCCAGTCTACTGAAGACGTCCATTCTGTTGAATTTTGTTCAATCTCTGGGAAGCATTAGGATACATAGAGTACATGCATGTCTGTCACTGTGATGCATCAATAGATGCTACTCATAGAGAATATTAAATCCAATTGGATGCATGGTGTCGTCACACTGTGTGTGATCGCACTAAATGTGAAGACCTTTGAAAGTCGAAAAGGAAGGGTCTGTAGTGGCTCTCAAACAAGTGTGCTCTTGGACAGGACAAATATAAACTCTGCCGCTTTCTGGAAACAATGTTTTAACATGCACCTTTTAAGATGTAGTGGTTTTGGTTCTTAAATAGTCTCTCTATGCTAGTCGTTTGCCATGCTTAATAAAACTGTGTGATTCTCTTTGCATGTTGTTATGATTTTTTTTTTTACTGTTTTATATCCTCTATCTTACATTTATTCATTAATTTATATGGTTCGGCTCTACTACTTTGAATAATAGTTATCTTCAACAAGTATTGAGAGGATAGTGTGAGTTGTAATGAAATAGCTGAATAGCCCCAGCTGTTATACACGGTCTATACTCTGTGATCTATGCTGAATGACTGACTGGCAAGGAAGGGGTCAAAGTTGTAAACTACAGGTTTTTGGCAGAGACTTTGTAGAGAATGGAGACACCGTTGTTTGAAATCCCCGTAAGTGACGTGGTTTGTGTCCTACTGAGCTGTGACAATAAACAGGAAGGAGTCCAGGCCACAGCCAATCATTACCTGCCCATAATTACAGGACTTTGTGGGAAATGCGGAAGGAGGGGGAGAGAAACCAAAAATAAAGTAATCGGAAGTGTCCGGCCTGGCATCTACCAGCTCCATTGGCAGCCTCCCCCTCACCGTATATACATGGACAGTATGGTATGTCCTCACTGAGCACAAAGAAGGATGGCTTCAACATCTTTTTTTACAATATAACTACTTGATAATTGGCACCAAAGTATTTTAACCATGAAGTTTCCAATTATGTCCTCAGGTATAGATATTACACTCCGAGAATACTGCCAAATAAAACATGTTTTAAATTTAAACGGGTACTATGGTTTGTGCATAACCAAGAGAGCTGTTTTGCCAGCTATTTATATATGTGTAATATTTACTAAACAGAAACCACAGAAACCACAGTGATCACCTGCACGTTGCCGGTTGTCTTCTTAAACCACACTGTCACATCATCCAGGGCTGTGGAGTCGGTACATAAATCCTCAGATTCCTCAATTTGTGGTGTCTCCAACTGCTTAGGTTCTATATGATTTTATTACAGTTACTATATGACCATTTACTGTATATGCCAGCGTATAAGTCGTCTTTGTAAGCATCAGAACAATCTCCCACAGCCATGGCACCATAATTCTATATCTTTTAATAAACATGTAGACAAAGCACAGCTAGAACTGTGAAATGTATGTGGAAAATAAGGGCCCTAAAGCAGCCCTGTCACCAAGAGAAAATAAATAAATAAAAATGAACATTTCATAAAAATAAACATTTATTGAAATTCCAATGTAGCCAACATATAATTATAAGAAAAAGTAAGGACTTCTTTGTCTTATGGGATAACCCTATCTCGAGAAAACAACAATGGTGGAGATACCACCGTCAAATTTAGTCACTTCATACAGCTAGTGCTAGCAACAGCTCTGGGAAATAAGACATTGTCTTGCTCAATGCAAAATATCTGTGGAGGTTATCATGAGATCCTCTGTAAACATTTATTAGACCATCAGCAAGAACTGTTTACTACTGTTGTATTGCTCCATGCATTCCACTGACTGAAGAAATTACACACTGCTACAATGTAAAATAGTAAGTGTACAGCCTGTATAACTGTGTAAGTTTGCTGTCCCCTCAAAATAACGCAATACACAACCATTAATATCTAAACCTTTGGCAACAAAAGTGAGTACACCCCTAAGTGGAAAGGTTTAAATTGGTCCAATTGGCCATTTTCCCTCCCGGGTGTGAATGGGGAGCAGGTGTGTTAAATTTGGTGTTATCGCTCTCATACTGGTCACTGGAAGTTCAACATGACACCTCAAAGCAGAGAAATCAGTGAGGATCTGAAAAAAATTATTGCTCTACATAAAGATGGCCTAGGCAACCTTCGGCACCCCAGATGTTGTGGACTACAACTCCCTTGATTCTTTGCCAGCATTCTGGCTGTAAAAGCATTATGGGTGATGTAGTCCAAAACATCTGGAGTGCAGAAGGTTGCCTACTCCAGGCCTAGGCAATAAGAATACTACCAAGACCCTAAAACTGAGCTGCAGCACGGTGGGCGATACCATACTGCGGTTTCACAGGACATGTCCCACTCAAAACAAGCCTCACCATGATCGACCAAAGAAGTTGAGTGCACGTACTCCGTGTCATATCGAGAGGTTGTCTTTGGGAAATAGACGTATGAGTGCTGCCAGCATTGCTGCAGAGGTTGAAGGGGTGGGGGATCAGCCTGTCAGTGCTCAGACCATACGCTGTACACTGCATCCAATTGGTCTGCATGGCTGTCGTCCCAGAAGGAAGCCTCTTCTAAAGCTGATGCACAAGAAAGCCTGCAAACGGTTTGCTGAAGACACGCAAACTAAGGACATGAATTACTGGAACCATGTCCTGTGGTCCGATGAGACCAAGATGGTGTCAAGCGTGTGTGGCGGCAACCAGGTGAGGAATACAAAGACAAGTGTGTTTTGCCTGATGGTGGGAGTGTCATGGTCTGGGCCTGCTTGAGTGCTACCGGCACTGGGGAGCTATAGTTCATTGAGGGAACCCGGAATGTGAACATGTACTGTGACATACTGAAGCAAAGCATGATCCCCTTCCTTTGGAGACTGGGCCGCAACATGATAATGACCCCAAACACACCTCCAAGATGACCACTGCCTTGCTGCTGAAGGTAAAGGTGATGGACGGGCCAATCATGTCTCCAGACCTAAAACCTATTTAACATCTGTGGGGCATCCTCAAGCGGAAGATGGGGGAGCGCAAGGTCTCTAACATTCACCAGCTCCATGATGTCGTCATGTAGGAGTGGAAGAGGACTCCAGTGGCAACCCCTGAAGCTCTGGTGAAATCCATGCCCACGAGAGTTAAGGCAGTGCTAGAAAATAATGGTGGCCACACAAAATATTGACACTTTGGGCCCAATTTGGAAATATGCCAACGGTTTAGACATTAATGGCTGTGTGTTGTTGTTTTGTTATTTTGAGGGGACCGCAAATTTACACTGTTATACAGGCTTTACACTTACTACTTTACATTGTAGCAGAGTGTCATTTCTTCATAAAATATTTACAAAAATGTGAGGGGTGTACTCACATTTGTCAGATACTGTATATATATTTGTGTGTGTGTGCACTATATTTATACTATAATATTATCCCCTATATTGGACAATAATGTATTTGTGAGGTCTGAAAATTTAAAATTGAATGTAGAAGTGTGTTTGTGTGTGTTCGTCCCTGTGAACAAAGGGACTGGGTAAATTAATGGCTGTCAGAATGGCCTATGCCACAGCATCCCAATATGGCTTATACCCTGGCATGATATATAAGAGTATGTGGATGGCTACTGCTGAGAAGAAAAGGACTTTCTCTTCAGGCTAGTTCCATAAGGAAATGCATTTCATTTGCACCTTGCTGGCAAGGTCCCTCACTTCTAAGTAAAGAAGGGGGAAAAACTAAGAAATAAGGATAAACTTACCTTTGGTACAGAACAGAGGCCAAGTTCTCCCTGCAATCCTGTCTTCTGAAGGGGGATCTTGGTTGGCACAGGACAGGGGGAGGTACCACCATTGGTAATGTGATGCAAGCTGACAACAGACATATGAGAACACTGAAGTGGTCATGGCGTTAGCTTTGAGTAACCCTTTAAGAGAATTGAAAAAATATGAAACTTAATCTACACATGTTAGGTTATGCTGTTTATCATTGCATTTTTACAGCTGCATCTTGCTCACTCATACTTTGTGAGTGGTTTTAGTCATGCTCATGTGTACTTTGCCAAGTCTGGTGTCTGGGCAGATGTGATTATATAAGTGTGTGTGTGTGTGTGTGTGTGTGTGTATATATATATATAATATTATTATTATTATTATTTTTATTTTATTTTTTCTCATAATGTAAAGACAAATAAAATTGTTAATCCTTTCTAACTGCCATATTTCTGTAGGACAGAGTCACTGAAAATGCAAATTGTGTAATTTCTGCCAGAATATAAGGTCTGTGAATTGATCAAGATAATTTTCTTTCCCCCACCTTACAGGAACATTTTCAAACCTGAGCCAAAAAAGCAGATTGTCCCAAAAGCGGTAAGTACTGAACATTGACATATCATTGTGATAGTCCTGCTGTTAAAAGAAAAAAAATCCGGAACATTTATCTATAGCTCTTCAGAGTATGGACCAGAGTGTGGTTAAAGTGAATCTGTGGATTATACAATTATTCAATGTGAAATGAATTATACCATTATTCAACCAGGAATTATATATATTTTAGTTATGTTCAGAGTTTGCTTCCACATCCCTTTTGGTGAGCATAGGAAGATTGGATTCTGTGACCAAGCTGTGGCGGACCGCCTGATACCCCAACTGGGTACCTCTGCCAAGCATGTTACCTAGCTATCGCCGGGACACCATCAGCCCCTAGCCGCCGCAGATTGGCCAGGGTCTCGCCGTCGCTTCCCGCCATGAAACAGGATCCTGGATCCAGCTTCTAGTGATTAAAGCTTTCCTGCAGAGAGTATAGCTGGTACACCCAAACACTAGGCGAGACTGAGTGAAGGTTGTAAAGGAACTGGTTTATTATGGCCAAGTTGCCTGCTTTTATACACAGCCACCAGTACAGGGTCTCCATTCAATGCAAGACAAGTCCCTCCCATAAATCTGTGCCTTGGAGATAATTGCACCGGTAAGCTAATTATCTCCCGGGAACAGAGAGGCAAACATAAAAAATATAAAACAAAAAAATACCCCAAAACATCATAAAAATATATAACAACAAAATAAATACATTCCCAAATAGCCCTGATCTGAGTGCCCAGGCTCTCCAAATAGCGCTCAGATCTAAGTCGTTCAAAATCCCGGACCAAGTAGTGCAGGAGCCGCAGTGTCACCTCATGCCGAAAACAGTTCAATAACATTCGCTGCTAAGTCCCGCTGAGGCGACCGGGAACCCACGTAGTCCTCATGCCGAATTTAGTTCCATGACAATAACGACTAAGTACCGCTGAGGACAATTCGTGGGTTTCTTCATGCGAACGGCCACCAGGGAGCTAGCGTTCAGTTCCATTTGAATGAAGAGAAAATGCCAAACCAGGGGCACCCAGGGAAAGCTGCTAATGGTGGCTGGGAAGGTTTAACTCCCAAACAGGGTCTTTGAATACGGCCCATAATCCTTGGGCAGGAGACTAGCTAGCAGGCTCCTCTAGGAGCTTGTGGCATAGGCATGTTTGCCACACAAGCATTGTAGGATGTGCATATATCTCGCTAAGTTATATATAGTTTATTTCTCTTTGTCAATTACATTTTATCTATTCACAACCCAGCAATATGATTACACTCTACACTCTGTACATTTTACTGACTGAGTTTCAAGATACAATTTAATCTATGACAAATGCACTTTATGTTGACCTTCACAATGATTTTATACTCTATAGTGTACTACAGATCTGCACTTGTCTAGAAAACCTGCTTCTTAAACTTTAATTTCTGAAGATTTTTGATATTCTGTTTACTTATCCCATATATTTGACAATAATGTATTTGTGATGTCTGAAAATTAAAATTGAATGTAGAAATACACACATCTATTCTGGAATTCAGGACCTCCTGAACCATCATTATAAATCTTACCAGTTTCTTCCTATGAACACATTTAGTAAATAAGGAGAAACAGACCAAATTTAGACAATCTAAAAGGCATGCCAAAACCAGATATCCTTTTACAGCAGATGCAGGTTAGCAAAGCTCCAGCTATATGGAGCCTGCATATTATGTCAGTGAGATTCTCACTTGTAGTTTCCATAAGTAGCCTTAAACAAATGAGAGAAACAACATATTTAGTTATATGCATATGTTTGCTGTCTCTTTTAATTGCAAGAAATTATGCTAGTTCTAAATAATATGGAGTTTACACAGATTATTCAAAACATGAGACATGGATGCTAATTGGGGATGTTTTATTAAATGTATAGCTGGGTTGAAAAAAATCTTTAATATGCTGGATTATTGATAATAATGTTAATGCGATAAATCTGTTTTATTTTTCCTTTCCACAGGTGGAGCGGGACTTTGAAAGGGAATATGGGAAATTGCAACAGTATGTACCATATTTTAGTGGTTAGCTAAATATTGGTTATTTGTTTCCCAACCCCCTCCATTATTCTGTTTGAATTTGTCTCATAGAGAAGCATTGAGGACACATGGAGCATGCAATCACTATGGTCCTTCAATCCAATGCTTCTCTGAGATGAATACAATACTTCCCAAAGAAATGCACTAGATGCATGCCTTGTCTAGCATCCACATACTTTACATGATGATGCCGAACCTCAAATAGATCAATAATTGAATCTGTTTCAGTCCATAGCCCCTCAGTAGCTGCTTAAATGACAGTATGTATGAAAATTGGGAAAGCCTTGCCATTTCTCAAAACCGGCACTGTTTGTTTATAATAGCAAGAAAACAAGAGTAGCGTTAAGATGAAGTGATTTTTGGTGCTTAGACTTTTTATTTAACTAAATGTGTAAATTTAATATAAAAATAACTTTGAATGTCCCATATGTTCAGCAAATCCACAGGATTTTGTCATTCTCCAAAGATCTTTACAGTAATGGATTAGACCTTTACGAAAATACTGGTCTTCTTTTTGCTTCATAAACGAGAACTCTATGTACCTTATAAACCCCTGCATAGTAGGGATATATGAGAAATGTACTAGAACTGTCTTACATTGCAGAATGAATACAAGTTAAAAAAAAAAGTAAATTGCATTCTGTACAGAAAAACAAATATAACAATTTCTGTCTCTGACAGACTCGAAGAACAGACAAAGAAACTCCAGAAAGATATGAAGAAAAGTATAGAAGCAGATTTAGGTTTGTTTGTTAGATGAAAAGACATCTACCCCATGTTCCATCCTATTGTATTTCTTTGCACATTTCTCCCTTCTTACATTTTCATTATCTATAACTATATGTGCTCCTTATCTGTGCCACATCATGTTTCTGTTGTAGTCCCCCAAATCTCAGTCCTTGGCTCCCTTCTGTTTTCTCTTTATACTGCCTCTCTTGGTAAACATATTAATTATTTTAAATGGCGATGACACCTAGATATTCCTCCCTGATCTCTTGCTCACTGTCCTAGAACGTGTCACCAGTTGCCTCTCTCTGTCTCAAAATGGATGTTAATCACTTACTAAAATTCAAATGTCTTATCTTCCCTCCTCATAATACTAAGCCCTGCTCTCCCTGCAAGTTGATGGCTTGCACATCAGCCTACCCTACCAATCTCACTGTCTTGGTGTTATCTTTGATTCTAGCTTCAGTTTCATGCCTCATATTCAGTCTGTTCCCAAATTATGCCAATTCCACATTTAAAAGCATTGCTTGTATCCCTCCTTCCTTGCACAAGATGCTACTAAGGAGCCTGTTCATGCTCTTGAAATTTCTCACGTTGACTTTATTGTTCTCTCCAGAAACTGTACTGCCTCTTTACAGTCCATAATGAATGCTGCTGCAAGGCTTATTTTTCTTTCCAGTCACTACTCTCACACATCACCCCTTTGTCAATCAATACATTGGCTTCCTGTACCCTATACGATTACCGGCAAATTTTAACATATTAACTCTCACAAATAAGTAAGTCTGCTGCTCGCATTCGTACTGCTAACTCACGCTTACAGGACTTCTTATGTGGTTCCATTCTTATGTAACAGTCTGGATTCCCCATCAGACTGTCCCCTACTCTTCAATTCTTCAGCTTGCCAAAGTGTTTTATGTGAGAAGAGTGTGTGTCCTCTTTTTTTGTAAAATAAAAAAAGAAAAAAAAGTGCAATTTTTCAACCGCAATTGGCACTTTTATAAATGAACCTTTTAACACCCCCTGGCTAACAATCAGGCAACTTATCATTTTACTTTATGGTTTGTTTAGCTCAATGGGACTAAAAACCCAATTAAATGCATACATGATTTCATTGGGGCTAGATCTACTAATCAGTTATGTATTTATTAATTGTACAATGCTACAGAATTTGCTGGCGCTATATAAATAATACAATTATAATTTATTGTACTTGGGCAGTTTATAGACTCTTTAAGAAATCCCTTAAATCTCACCTCTTTTAAAAAGTCTATGGACTATCGTAACTGTCCTTACTCTCTCAGCTTAGTGGGTCCATTCTCCACTTCACTCTAACTTTCCAATTCTACTATTACTACTATCTCTAATGTTCCCCTTCCTATTGTGTGTTTATACCTCACATTCCATAGATTGTTAGCTCATCAACCTATTGCTCCTGCTACAATTTGTAATAGTTTGTCTAATTTGTTTTTTAAGTCCTCTTAAAGGACCACAATAGGCACCCAGACCACTTCAGCTCAATGAAGTGGTCTGGTGCCAGGTCCATCTTGGATTAACCCTTCCTGTTGTAAACATAGCACTGTAGTGCCCTGTGGGGGCACCCTCAGGGCACTATAGTGCCAGGAAAAAGAGTTTGTTTTCCTGGCATTATAGTGGTCCTTTAATAATATTGTAAAGTGCCACAGAATCTGTTGGCGCTATATTAAATGCCAATAATAATTTAACACTTTCTTCTTCCTGCCAGCCATGTCAAAGTCAGCAGTCAAGATATCTTCAGATCTGCTAGCGAATCCCTTATGTGAACCTGACCCTGGTTTTCTGGAAATGGTCACGGCATTAGACACAGCAATGAAGCGTATGGATGCTTTTAATCAGGAAAAGGTACATAAAGTTGTTTCCTAATATGCATCCACAGAGGGGTTATGATGCTGAAATGAGTATTCTCCCAATGATCTATAGAACAATAAACATTCATCACTTGTGCAAACTATCTTCCTCGTTTAGACACAGGTTTATTAAGGAACTTGGCTGAACCAATTAACCAACCAACCAACAAATGCACTATTAAAAAAAAAAAAAATAATAATCTGGCAATCAACTTTAAGAGGACTAATGCAATTTTTAATTTTTTTAAAGCCTCTTGTTTCAATGCATAAGTGGTCCTGTTTTATGTACAGAACAAACTTAAGAAGTTGGATGTTTGGTGTTGTACCGTGAACATGCTAATGGACCCAAAAAATAGTCATTTACCATTAATTTTGTGATTTGGGAATACATGAACATGAATAGTTTAAATGATTAACATTCTTCCCCATTGCTTTCTCTTTTTTTGAAAGTGAAAGGAAGATTGCTACCAGGAAAAGTATTATAGGAATTTTATGTTTACGTAAACCAGTTTGCCCCGTTTTACTCTGGTACATCTTGTGACATTGCAGGTGTATAGTGGTTTCAGATTTTTAGGAAATGCAATGCCCATGATAATTAACCCTCTCTCTCCTTGGTACTGCAATCATCTCCTCTTCTTGGCATCTTCGTTTGCCAAGATCTGTCCTGATTATTGTACTTCTACTCTTCTGCAAGAGTAAAACTGAGAGTTCTTTGGAAGAATCTATGAGATCTGTTGTATGTAATTTTAAATTAGGACCTACAGAAGATAAAATAGTCCTTATATATTCTAATGCATATCTTCTGAATGCAATGAAATCAGTTCTCTAATATTCTAATGGCCTAAAGCATTTATTATTACTAAATAGTAAAGCATTAGTAAAGTAGGAATGGTAAAGCATTTTCTTTCAATTATCGCATGGACCAGTGAAGCTGGTATATATATTTACCCTTAATTAAAATGTGCAGTTACATATGTTTTAGAGTACACATGATGTGCAATCCCTTTAAAGGTTGTTGTCAGCATTGAACGCATGCACACCTGTCCATGCCGCATGATTGCATGTCCTCTTTGAACAAACTGATATTGAAAGATGTGGGGGAAAGCATAAGAGTTTAAAAGAACACTCAAACAACTTCATTCTCTATAAAGTCATTATGGAAGCAGGCGTGTCTGGGTGTCCTCTTCCTTCAGGGGTTAAACAGTTTTCAGATGGTTCTATTCCCAGTGTTTTGTCTTGGATGCCAGTGATGGGATGACCGGGTCAGCTGATGCTATGAACCGGTCACCAGTCGCCAAGGCAAAAAACTGTTTGACTCCTAAAAGTAAGATGGTGTCCAGTGACTCCAGCCTTCATAACTGTCATTGAGATGAAGCGGTTATTGGGGCTGGAATCAGCTTGGGGTATTACACTTGAACAACATGCTACCAATAGATCAAATTGGTATGTATCAATGTAATTGGATGCTTATGGTTATATACAGTGGTGTTTTTTTTTAAAGGACCACTATAGTGTCAGGAAAACAAACTTTTTCCTGACACTATATAAACCTTAGGGCCCCTCTCCCACTGGGCTGAAGGAGTTAAGATCCGTTCAGCCACTTACCTTTATCCAGCGCCGGGCTCCCTCGGCGCTGGTGACCTCTCCTCCCCCTCCGACGTCTGCTCCCGAGTGGAGCCAAATGCGCATGCGCGGCCAGAGCCACGCGCACATTAAAATCGCCCATAGGAAAGCATTACGTTCTGTGTGCTCAATGCGATTTTTGCATTGAGCGGAGGGGAAGCACCTCTAGCGGCTGTCAGGAAGACAACCACTAGAAGCTGGATTAACCCTATTGTAAACCTAGCAGTTTCTCTGAAACTGCTATGTTTACAGCTGCAGGGTTAAAACCTGTGTGACTATAGTGGTCCTTTTAACTACACAGAATTTGTGGTAAATTGACAAGTAACATAATTTTAAAGGCAGAATTTAGGAGAACTGTAGCTTGTCCAGCTCGGTTATTTTGTCCCAAAATTTACAGTTCCTTTGCCAGTTGTGCACAATTCTTAGTTTTGAGAGTGGACCCAAAAATGTTTTTGTTGACATGCACATGGTCATCAACAAACAAGAGCATGCATTCTTTGGCTTTCTATATTGTTTAAAATAAAGTGGGGGATCTGTGTGACGTAAAAGAAACCTAGTCAACAAGTACTTCTTTCTTGGATCAAATGCACCTCTGCTGCCTCTTGCAGTTCAGACTAAGAACTGCATTCATTACTATTAAATTTCACATGAGACTATTTGTGGCCTTGCAGTAATAACAAGGTAATTTGTTATGTTTACAATAGCTGTATGTCTCTTTGCTAAGGCTGCTTCCTAGTTTTAATGTTTTGTCCTATGAAGAAATCAACATTTGTAGGATATTATTCTAAGGAATAAAATCATTAAAACGTTACATTACCAGGTGCAGAGGGCTGCTTGGGCATCACTGTCTCTCTGTATTCTATCATAGAGTGCTATTCTTTATGTATGCGTTTTTTTTATATATAAACAACCAATGTGTTGTTAATGTTTTCTGTGTGTGGCCTCTTAAACGAATAGTCTTACATGGTAGCATATACCTGATTTCATTAAGTATTTCCTTGCTTCCTAGGTGAATCAGATTCAGAAGACTGTGATGGACCCTCTTAAGCGGTGAGTGAAAGGTTCGCATTTTCAGTAGACCAATGTGTTCTGAGCTCTGCATGCTGGGAGACTGTTTGTTTTTATGTATGATATTTTATAGTTTTAACCATGTGTTGTATAACTTATTTTTCACATGGAGAGAGTTTCAATGCGATGAAGCAGTTAAGGGTCCCTTTAATTATGCTGTTTACTTATTAAGCAATTGGCATATCTATTAGAACAATGTACATTAGTCTTATTGTAACTGTTCAACAATGATCTGTTTTAGTGCTAAAATGGCAGCAGTGCTTAAGGATAGCAACCATTAGAAGGGAGGGACTATTTTAAAGATGTGTATTGGCTTTTTTTCTTTGAGTCAATAACACAATGAAGAAATGGTATGTACCATGAAAATACTGTAGTAACAGATTGAAATCTGCCAAAATGGAATGTTCATGCCTCTGTAATGACATAGGGGCATTATTTATTTTTGCCACCCATGCCTGCATTGGTACAAAATATTTTTTAGCTCTTTGGAGCAACGAATGAATCCTAACCAGTGATATGACATGCCTTAATAAAAACATAATATTTAATATTGTTACCACACAGGTTTAGCAGTGTTTTCCCGTCTCTGAATATGGCAGTTAAACGCAGGGAGCAAGCACTTCAGGAATACAAGAGACTCCAGTCAAAGCTGGAGAAATATGAAGAGAAGGAGAAGACTGGAGCGGTGATTGCCAAATTGCATCAGGTCAGATATGGAAATGCAGGAGAAAGTTGTTGGGACTGGGATGAATTAGGCCGGTAGAGCTGGAAGGCGTGGTTTTGGAATGGATGCTTATATAAGGATTGCCTCATGTCTTCTCCTTGTTTTATCTGTATTATCTAGAATACTACATCCGGTTTATGCGACTAATCTCCTATTGTCTTATGTCATTCCTTTTGACATGCTAGGAATGTGTGCCATGTATGAACAATTGTAGATTATGCTAGCTTTAATGTACCTATAATCTTAATTTTATTAATGACAGGAGGCGAGTATTTGCTTTAGTCTCTCTTTACTAGAACTCCACAGCAGCACAGAAAAACAACCAATCAGAAAAAAGTTAGGTACTATAAAACCCCCTTCCCATTGCATCATTTCCTCTTTCAAGCTGCGACAAAACAGAACAAAGGCAGAAAAAATAATGGGAAGCAACGAAGTCCAGATACGATGAATACAGCAATGTCCAACGTCTGAGAAGAACTGTCAACCGGGATAGTGTTGATGGACTGAAAATAAATAAATCCAATGTCCACCATCCACGAAGAAGCGCCACACCAGATTGTGCTGAAGGACTGGAAACTGAAACGAGAGAAAAACAGAATCGAACAGGTTGATTATCCAGTGAAATGTATTTTTAATAAACTTGTAGATACCCAATGTAGCAAACAAAATTACCTTAATATGTAGATATCCCAACCCTATTTATGAAAAACAGATATAAGGACAGGTGACAGGTAGCAGAAACAACAAGCAGAGTTGTATACGTACCTGATTAATCCAAACTATAAAATTAAACAAGGGAGGGATAAGAACGGGTGGGAAATACTCGCCTCCTGTCATTAATAAAATTAAGATTATAGGTACACTAAAGCTAGCATAATCTACAATTTTATAATATGACAGGAGGCTTCGTATTTGCTGTTTTAACGCTCAGCCAACAAATCCAACGCTGCTTGTTTCGCTGGTACCCATCCCGAGAATATTAGAGCAATCCTAAATGGACCTTCCGACTGCGAGAAGTGACCTCCGTTGATAGATCCATTGTACGTGGGGTTACGACCTGTTCCCTAACAGTCGGTCCATGAGCTGCCAAGTTGACCTATTAGCCATATTCCTGTAGGTGTAAAGTGCCAAGGGGTCGCGAGAAGAGACTTCTACCGTGTCTCGACTCTTGATGTGGGAGGTGATTCCTCCGATCGTGTCAGGTACACCAGGTGATGTGGCCTTGCAGACAAACTCCAACCTCAGGCCTGCGCCTAAGTCCACCGTCAATACTCGAATAGAACCCAATAGTGTCTATTCGTTCCTTTATGACCTACCCGGTGAATTGTCTCCTTCGAAAATAAAGTTATATGCAGATAATAGTGTGGACAATACTAGCCGTATCCTAAGAGACTCCAGTCTACCAACTGGACTGCGTAATCCACGGCTGCGGTCTAGAAAAGACATCCAAAGGACGTCCAATCAAGGTCTCAAACTGAACTCGTGTGGTAAACGGTGGTCAACTATTCTGGGAATTGTGAATCCTGGAAAGTTCAAAAGGATGGGACCGGAAACAGGGGTTGAGATTCCCATCCAAATACATCATCCTCTAAGAGTGCTAGATGGTCGGATCCAATAGAGTTTAGGACCCGTATAACACAGAAGAGCCCTTACGTGTTGCAGTGAGAGTGTGAAATACTCCAATTACCATTTGTACAATCCTGTTCCATGCCCGACCTGTCAATATTCGTGGAGGGGTTCCTGGCCTACACGCCACCGACAAGATAGGGAATAATATAGTGAGACCCCTAGGTTCCTATTTCATAGACTGTCCAAGCATGTATCTCCCAGTGTAGGTTTCCTTGATGGTAGTTGAATAGGAAGGCTAGTGAGAACCCAAACCAAGATGGTTCCCGTGATGGATATAGAGTCCGAACACTGTTCTCAAGATGTGTTCAGAGTTGTAGGAGCAGTCCTGCCAACTTTCTCAAGATTGTAAGGACCAGGGAAGCCAAGTCCTGAGAATTTCGGTTTCTCCATGCTATCCATGCATACGGTGCACCTGAAGACCGTTTATGTGAATTTTCTAGTCTTGTTACTCGAGCAAGGCAGTGCCCGTTTGCCCTATGCAGGTCTCAGGATCTCATGTCACCCTGACACAGGAGAATAGTCTGCACAGTTTGTACGTAATTAATATCTGAAACAGAGTGCAATGTCTGTTTGCTACAGCACAGGTTATACCAAAACCTGTACTCTTGTAAAAACTGAGGATCCTCCTTAGCCGTACTGTCTCCCGGAATGTGTGTACATAAGTGGGACACCTCCCCCACTAATACCTCTGAGGGTATTTCTCATGTGGATTACAAGATGGATCCAGTCAAACTATGTATACATTGCCCGATCAGGTAGCCCTCTAGAACGAAATCAGTAGCGCGGTCCTCATATTTAAATTGGATGTAGGAGAGACGCCCCTCTATGCGGTCATAGTTGACCTGTACAGGTACAAGTCTGTGTGAGGAACAAATGGACGGCACCATAGTGCGTTGAGTGTATGAGAGAGTCGCACTCTGTAAAATGTGATCGCACTCGGAGTCCGCGCACGGTTGGTGGTATGAGAGGGCCGCACCCATTAGAAGTCAAACATAGTCTACCTCTGTGTCCGGTTCCTTCTATGAGAATGAGTCACTCGGAGCATGTCCTCTATATCCAGCTCAGTATCGGGCCGAGGTTGAGGGAGGGCTGCGCCTCTAATAATGAATCAGTGTCCGATTCGGTAAATGAGAGGGGTTCGCCCTCTACTCTTGAAAATAAAAATATCCGTCTCGGGCTGAGGTGAAGGATGGCCGCACCCTCTGTAATCCAAACCAGAGTCCAGTAGAGACTCAGGGTGACCAAACGTGGGGTTACACCCTTATTTAATATAAGCAAAGTATACAACCTCGGGCCGTGTCTGACCTTAATAAGAGAAAGGGGTGATGAGAAATGTACGTTTCGGAGCTGAAGATGGTAACTATCAGCATGTGCACGGGCTCCAGGATGACCGTCGGTAGTCTGAGGAAAGCTGGAGACGTTCTCCGCAATCCACGAGCGCCCGGGAGGTCGGAGGAGGTCAAGCCAGGCCTCTCGACGACCCGAGCGATAGGACAATAGAAGGCACGAAAACAAAGAAACGACCAATGAAGTAGAAAATGGAAAATACGTACCTCGGAAAGCAGGTCGGATAGCAGACTGGAAAAAAATGAATCAAGTGAATCCAGTTGAAAAGGTCAGGAGCTAAACATGACATAGAAAAACACTACCAATACCTAATATTGTGTCTGAGCAATGTTCCCTGCTTGTGCGAAATTCCTCTTGAAGATGTGTCGTCGTTGGGTACAACCCGTAGTTGCGTGCCCGGGAATCCTCATAAAAACTTTTGCCCTTCAGGGCATATGGTGTAGGGCCTTCACCCCTCCAATCACAGTTAGATGTCCATATCCTGGTGTCCTCTTGGATAATATGGCAGCAGTGTCTGTCCGGACAACCACCTAGAGGGTACTGAGCTTACCTCAGTGATATTCCCCCAGGTTTGTGGTCCAAAGGGGGGTTCGGGCACAGGTAGAGCAGGTCAACAATGGGCCCAGTTAGAGCAGGCCAGACAGAAGGGCACAGATGTAGTCAGTCAATCAAATGGGCACAGACATAGCAGGCCAATCAATGGGGCACAGACATAGCAGGCCAATCCTGGGTTTCATATTAAATGAGTAATGGGGACCTCTGAGTTTGGCAGAGTCCCCTAAATATCTGTAAATCCTCCGGGTATCCTGTGACCTAGGACCCTTAGACACTAATCTTAGACAGCGTACTACTGTGTGAATAAACCGTAACCGGGACTGGCGGTCCCTAAGTGCCCAGCAGGCAACATAGAGGTAAAACCAGTTGTATTGGGTTTAAGCTGGATTTGTTCCAGTGATATAGTGTCCATAAAATCAAGCTCTGCTGAGCAATACCTTCTTTAAAGTGCAAATTGTAATGCACATGTACATACAGATCTGTATGAGATATCTTATCTTTATTGTAGGTCATCATCATCATCATCGTACCGCCTGAAGGGTATTGTACTCATGGTCTCTTCAGGAGTAGGGCAAAAACAATTGCCAACTCAATGAATCTTCCCAAGAAGCCTGATAAGATAGAATAGTATCGGCATAGACAGGACTGACATCTACCGTCGGTGAAACTCACAACAATCCGTGATATCTATAGCACTAAGACTCACAGCAAGCCGTGCTATATACACTGACATAGAACTCACAGAAATCTGTGATATATACATATATACATAGTCATAGAACCCACAATAATCTGTGAGATATATATATATATATATATATATATATACATATATATATATATATATACACACACACACACACGCCTAGAACTCACAAGAATCTGTGAGATATATACATACTGTCATAGAACTCACAGTAATCTGTGATATATGTATACACTGTGATATAACTACCTGAAACTCACAGAAATCTGTGACATATACACATGGAAAGCTAACAGAAATCTGTATAAACACATGGAAAACTACCAATAATCTGTATAACTAAACACATGGCAAACTACCAGTAATCTGTATAACTAAACACATGGCAAACTACCAGTAATCTGTATAACTAAACACATGGCAAACTACCAGTAATCTGTATAACTAAACACATGGCAAACTACCAGTAATCTGTATAACTAAACACATGGCAAACTACCAGTAATCTGTATAACTAAACACATGGCAAACTACCAGTAATCTGTATAACTAAACACATGGCAAACTACCAGTAATCTGTACAAATAAACACATGGAACACTATCAGTAATGAAAAGGAAACATTCCGAAAAGAGCCAGAAAGGCACATAAATCTCACAACCAAGCATAATTAATAACAATCATAAATAAATCACACTAAATCCCAAAGCCACCCACTAGAAGCAGGAGGCAGTGGTAACTCTGACCTGTACTGATGCGGAGCAGCAAAGAAAGAGGAAATTATGCAATGGGAAGGGGGTTTTATAGTACCTAACTTTTTTCTGATTGGTTGTTTTTCTGTGCTGCTGTGGAGTTCTAGTAAAGAGAGACTAAAGCAAATACGAAGCCTTCTGTCATGTTATAAAATTGCAAAGTCTCGTTATATAGCTTCCTGCCTATAGGTACAATGTCTGATTGATTTGGATGTACATAAAATGACATATTCTGCATGGAGCCTGCATACATCTATATACGGGTGTCACAAGCCTGATCAATCAGCCATTAAAGATATGTATAGTTTGTGGATATTACTTGAACTCATTGTTTTGAACATTGACCATCGTTTGTTTAAATGGTGCTGACTCCTCTACAAAAGAGTACTTCCTAAGCAGTTTCCAGGATCCAGAATGCAGGGGTTATCAATCTCTGGATTTATGTAATGCATTATCAAATCAAGCCCAATTTCTGTACTTTCAAGCCTCTAATGAAAAATATAAATATTTAAAAATGCAAAAAAGCATTAGACAGAAAACAAAGAATTAGGGTGTAGGGTGTGATAGCACTACTGGGAAAGACTTGTAGTAGTGCCAAAGAACCATGTAGTTAGCATCTTGTTTATTTCCCCAAGCAAGGGTTGGTTCTCTATTCAAATTTGATGTAAACTTCTGGGTCTGCTTTGTAGATATGGAGTTTTTAGGATATGTAATGTTTTGTAGGGGTCCATTGTAATCCATTGACTCTATGTTGTTGTATTTTTCCATATGATGGTGTGTTCGGATGTGCTCCTGCAGCCCGGCAAAAATAGGAGAAATATTTCCCGGACAGGCGTCCGTCATAAATAAAAAAAAAAAAGGTGGTGCAGGGTATGTGTGAGGGGTCTGTATTGTGGTGAGGGGGGAGGTAAATCAGGGAGAAAATGTATATTTAAAAAAAAATAATATAAAAGTTTTAAAGCCCCCTTCCCCCCTCTCCTCCTTACCTCTGGCCTGGAAGGAGGGGGCATATCACTGCAATCCCTGGTGGTCCAGTGATGGCGTCTGCACTTCAGCCTGCAGATCCTCCGGCGGCAGGCTGTCCTCACTATTTTCTTCCCGCAAACACAGCGATGTGTCTGAGTGTTGCCATGGTTTCGTGCGGCAACACTCCAACCTGCCTGTTCGCGGGACGATCACAGCCTCCTGGGTTCTCCTCCAGTCTCCCGGGTCTTACTCCCTTAACAAATTGCAAGGAGACCTGTGAGGGAGATCTTTGATCACCCCGCTGGTCCAAGAAAGGCAGACAGCAGGGCCGGCTCAGCATGGTGAAACCTTTCGAGGACCGGCAATAAATTCTTGCGGACCACCGGTTGAAGACCACTGCTCTAAATGGGATAAGGTTTGTTGGAGGCTGTTTGTTTAGTTTTAATGCTCTTACTTTGAAGGGATCGTTTCATGTTCTGGTTATCATACTTGGAAAAAGTCCCAGGATTACCCAGTTAAACCTTGACCTTTCAATTGAATCTGGTACTAATTATGGAATGAGAAAATAATATATATACCCTGCTTTATGCTGACAACTTTCTACTTGCTGACCATGCTGCAGGATCCCACATTGCTTCTCTGTTTACCTCAATGCAGTGTGTTGTTATTGCCACAAACCAACGACCAGCACTGGTTGGGCAGCAGAAATCTCTCCAGTGTGATGGCTTAGTGTATGTATAAAATGTATTCAGACACAATAGTTGAGTCTATATAAAAATACTTCAGTGCTCCCAACTTTGAATGATTGTCACACTCAGTTAACCTGCATGTCTCAACGTGAATGATGCCTCCCAAGCAAACAAGACAGACTAGGTGCATGTCTTTTTGCTTCCCAATGCCTAGCTCTATCCCATTTTGTTAATGCCAGCTCTAAGCCATATATTTTTGTATGACTTTCTTCTGTAAATATTCTTCCTACCTACTCATTTCGGTCCAATTTTGAGAACAAGTGTTTTTCTCAAATGTCTTGTTTCCTAGGCCAGGGAAGAATTGCGTCCAGTCCGGGATGATTTTACTGCAAAAAACATCCAGTTATTGGAGGAGATGCCACAATTCTACAACAGCCGTGTTGATTACTTCAAACCAAGCTTTGAGTCATTGATCCGAGCACAGGTTTATATTCCTTTCTAGTTCTTCACTATTAAAATTTACATTCCATTTATTACTCTATATAGCCTTTCTCAATTACTCCTACTGTTGATTTATTTAACCTTTCCCTTTAACACCTATTATTCCACATAACCTCATAACATCACCCCCCTAACATTGTCATATAACCTCTCCCTATAACCTCTCCTTTTACCCATATAACTTATCTCTGTAACTTCTCCCATTACTCCATATAACCTCTCCTAATAACTTCTATTACTAAATATAATCTCTCCCTATATCTCCTAGTATTACTCCTTATAACCCCTCGATAATTCCTCCTATTACGTCATATGGCCTCTCCCTATAACACCACCTTTTACTCCCTATAACTCCTCCTTGTTACTCCATTTAATCTTTTCCTATTATTCCGTTTAACCTCCCCATATAACTCCTCCTATTACTCCTTATAACCTCTCGCTATAACCCCTCCTATTACTCCGTATAACCTCTCTCTATATCCCCTCCTATTACTCCATATAATCTCTCTATAACCACTCCTATTACTCCATATTAGGGATCGACCGATATTGATTTTCTTTAGAGCCGATACCGATAATCTGTGAACTTTCAGGCTGATAGCCAATAACTTGCCGATATTCTGTACATTTACCATTTTGAAAAAAGAAACAAATTCTAAAGGTAAATGCACAAAATATACATGCCACGTGCAGTGGATGAATTGTGTTTAGACAGGGAAGCTGTGTGTGTTTGTGTAGTGGATGCAGTGTGTATTTGTGTAGTGTGTGTGTGTATATAATGAATGCAGAGTGTTTGTGTAGTGTGTGTGTATATAATGAATGCAGAGTGTTTGTGTAGTGTGTGTGTATATAATGAATGCAGAGTGTGTTTGTGTAGTGTGTGTATAATGAATGCAGAGTGTGTTTGTGTAGTGTGTGTGTATGTAATGCAGAGTGTGTTTGTGTAGTGTGTGTGTGTGTGTGTGTGTAGTTTGTGTGTATGTAATGCAGTGTATGTAGTGTGTGTATGTAATGAATGCAGAGTGTGTGTGTTTGTGTAGTGATGTAATTTGTGTATCATGGGGCGGGGGGGTTATTTTTTTATTTAAATTTCTTTTTAATATTTAAATGTTTTTTGTTTGTTTGTTTAGTTCCCCCTCCCTGCTTCTTCCCTGGTGGTCCGGTGGCTTGTTAAGTACTGGGGGGGCTCGCAGGAAGCTGTTTCTTACCTTTCTTGCAGCTCCTCCAGCTCCCCAGTACAAATCTCGTGAGTCCCGCGGGCGCAGAGTGTTGCCACGGGTTACCATGGCAACACTCCGTGCGGCACTAAGGGCCGCGAGATTTGCACAGGGGAGCTGGAGTAGCTGCAAGAAAGGTAAGAAACTGCTTCCTGCGAGTCCCCCCAGGACCGTCGGGCTTGTAATGGGCCCTGCGGTCCCAGGAGGTATTATCGGCAATATCGGTATCTCTATTGGCCGATACCAATATTGCTGAAAATACCGAATATAGGCCGATTATATCGGTAAAACCGATAATCGGTCGATCCCTACTCCATATAACCTCTCCCTATAACCCCTCCTATTACTCCATATAACCTCTCCCTATAACTCCTCCTATTACTCAATATAACCTCGCTATAACCCCTCCTTTTACTTCATATAACCTCTCCATATAACCCCTCCTATTACTTCATATAACCTCTCCTATTACTCCATATAACCTCTCCATATAACCTCTCCTATTACTTCATATAACCTCTCCATATAACCCCTCCTATTACTTCATATAACCTCTCCCTATAACCTCTCCTATTACTCCCTATAACTCCTCCTATTACTCAATATAACCTCTCTATAACCCCTGCTATTACTCCATATAACCTCTCCCTATAACCCCTCCTATTACTCCATATAACCTCTCCCTATAACCCCTCCTATTACTCCATATAACCTCTCCCTATAACTCCTCCTATTACTCAATATAACCTCTCTCTATAACCCCTCTTATTACTCCATATAACCTCTCCCTATAACCACTCCTATTACTCCATATAACCTCTCCCTATAACCCCTCCTATTACTCCATATAACCTCTCCCTATAACTCCTCCTATTACTCAATATAACCTCGCTATAACCCCTCCTTTTACTTCATGTAACCTCTCCATATAACCCCTCCTATTACTTCATATAACCTCTCCCTATAACCTCTCCTATTACTCCATATAACCTCTCCCTATAACCCTTCCTATTACTCCATATAACCTCTCCATATAACCCCTCCTATTACTTCATATAACCTCTCCCTATAACCTCTCCTATTACTCCATATAACCTCTCCATATAACCCCTCCTATTACTTCATATAACCTCTCCCTATAACCTCTCCTATTACTCCATATAACCTCTCCATATAACCCCTCCTATTACTTCATATAACCTCTCCCTATAACCTCTCCTATTACTCCCTATAACTCCTCCTATTACTCAATATAACCTCTCTATAACCCCTGCTATTACTCCATATAACCTCTCCCTATAACCCCTCCTATTACTCCATATAACCCCTCCTATTACTCCATATAACCCCTCCTATTACTCCATATAACCTCTCTATAACCCCTCCTATTACTCCATATAACAACCTCAAATTACTCCATATATCCTCTTCCTATAACCTTTCCTTTTGCTATACATAACCTCTCTATAACTCCTCATATTACTCCAAATAACATCCTTCCCTTTCCATATACCCTCTCCCTATAACTCCATATAACTTCTGTCTATAACCTCTCCTACTACTTCATATAACATCTCATTCTAACGCCTCCTATTGCTTCATGTAACCTTCCTATAACCCCTCCTATTGCTCTAAATAACCGCTCCCTATAGATCCTCCTGTTTACTCCATACAACCTCTCCCTCTAACTCCTCCTATTACTCCTTATTACCTCTCCCTATAACCCCTCATATTACTCCATACAACCTCTCCCTATAACCTCTCCTATTACTCCATATAACCTCTCCCTATAACCCCTCCTATTACTCCATATAACCTCTCCCTATAACTCCTCCTATAACCCCTCCTATTACTCCATACAACCTCTCCCTATAACCGCTCTATAATCTCTCCTGTTACTCTGTATAACCTCTCCCTATATTTCTTTCTGTTGATCTATATAACTATAATACCACATTGCTCCAGTTATGTTTCCCTTCCTTTATGTGTTTGTGTTGTATTTCTCCATATAATGCCTCTCATTACATGAGTTTCACTATATATGGTGATTTTGCATGTTGTAATCTTTTTTTTAATATTACTCTACATAAATATCTTCCTGAGACCTCTGTTCCTCCAGATAACCATTTATAAACCTGTCCCTCTAACATATGCATTTGGTCCATATAAATCTTCGGTAAACCAAGTGCCTTTTTATTCACTCCCTGTCAGTTTACTAATCAGTGCAGATAATTTCTTCCAGGACTACCATCAAAATTGTGGAGCCCCTTTAAAATTAAAAAATAAACGTTTAAAAAAAAAAAAAAAATTCTGGTTGCCCCACTCCTCTTCATTCACTTCCGGACAAGTGTACACTCGTACACAAACACAGATAAATACTCACAAAGATGCCCATTTTCCCCGTTCAAAAATACACACTTTCATTCAGGTTTAAACATGCACTCACAATCTATAACCTAACAGGCACCCTCCTGTGTTTCTGATTTCAGTTGGGTGGCTTCCCTTGTGTCTACGTGAGAGCATGCTGGTGTAGGTTACTGACTTCTCTTGCATCCCCATGCAGCATCAAGGATACGGGGAGAAAGTAATCTACCTCACATCCCCCTAGTGCTGCCATGGAGTGAAAGAGAAGCCAACTGTGCTCTCAGGCAAGAGGCCTGGTCCAAGTGAGATCTACAGTGTGTCAGGTGCTGAGATTACCATGTCTCCTCATACGGACTGCATAGTATTAAAGTGCTATAGTGGTTCTTAAGTACATTCTGTATCCACATAATAACAGCTCTGATAGCAACACCTACATATTCTATATATATATATATAATACATTATCTGTAATAACTAGTGTATAACTTGCTGTGTAATCTATTCATATACCTTTTTATTGTTTCACTTTAAAAAAACAAAAACCTATCTCACTGCAGTTTCCTCTGCTTTCTACTGTAGGTGGTTTATTACACAGAGATGTCCCGAGTATTTGGTGATTTGGCCCAGCAGGTGGACCAGGTGGAACTGACAGATCAAGAACGAGAGCGAGAGAATGAGGCCAGGCTGGCAGAGTTGCGTGGACTTTCTATAGTTGCTGATGACTAACCACTGACCCTCATACCTCAATATGTAGATACCTTGAAAGAAAGGGCAAAAAGCGACAATTAGGATTGTTACTTACAGGTAACCTCGACTTCAGTGTTTGGTGTCCAAACCACTCCAATAAGGAACTCCCAAGTGAGGTTACCTGAAAGAGCATGTAGTGGTAATCAGATATTTAGGACTTGGGCCAATCTTGTGTTGCATTTCACTCAAAGATAACATGGATAAAATCTGATTTGATGATGACCCATCACCTGATGCTCAGAATTGCCATTTACATTTGTCACTAGTGCTCTTTATTTGTAAATAATTGTGAGATATGTGGGAAATTCAAGTATCTTGTGCACAGCTGATAGTTAAAGTTATTAAGCTAGCTAAATCCTGAGTTGCCTTAGTACTTATACAAAGTCTACCTTGAACATCTTGTATTGTTCACCTCCCATGAAGCAATAATTCTGTTATGTAGGAAAGTTTCTGGGTAAAACAAAAACCAACAAGAAAACAAAACACTTCTTAACTTAAGTGCTTTACATTTCCCGATAACAGATCTTCATGTAGGATGTAGAATGTAAGTTCTGTGATTCCAGTGAAACTTGCCTGTGGAATTCCTGTAAAGTAATTATTTTAGCGACATACAGGGTTAGTAACTAAAGTAGCAATTGTCAGAAGTTCAAAGTGAATTTTAAATTCTAGGCCAGCCAAACTCAGAATTCTCAAACTCAGCTCTGCTTTGGCTATTTATGGCATTAGCCATAGGTTTTTCTTCTAGCTTGTCAGTCAATGCCTCTGTGTGCAGAGGCATTGACTGACAAGGGAGAGGAAAAATTACCTTTCACTTGAGGCTGCTCTCGTAGCAACCATAAAACATGCTACATTGAACACATACAACTACGTTATGATATAAGGTGCATTCAATGTTTATGGGAGGCATTTCAGGTTAGTTGATGTTCTCTTAACTGGTTAACTTTAAGTTTGAAATTCACTTTGAATACCTGACAATTCTCATTTAAGTGAATAACACTGATAACATCCAACCTCTACACACATTGATTGACACCTTTATACTTGAATACCACAGTACCATAAATAAACTAACCTTTATAGGTGCTTTTATTCATTTAGGTGCACCCTTACACATGGGTACAGCCGTGAAACAATAAATGTAAACACTATATTTGGATACACTCCTAAACTATATCTTTGCTTAGGTGATTGGTTTGTTGAGTTTGGGGCCATCCTAGTAAACCATCTTGCTATTGAAAATTGTGTAAACATTGTATAGATGGAATCTCAAAGTTACTTATAAAAACATTATAGGGTTGTTTATTTTAGCTTACTGTAATCTGCACCTTGCTTTTTTAGATGAGGGTTTTCTTTCTCATATATATCAACATAACATAATAAGATGTATGTGCACGGGCAATGGTTTCCAGACTAAAAATACCTATTGGTGATGCTTCACCATTGCACAAATCCCTAGTACCTCATCTGCATTGCGCTACTATCAGAGAGAATGCCATAACCCAATATCCGTCCAGTTATATACACACTGTAACAAGCTATAGTTGAACTTTTCCTGGGAATTTTCTTATCTGTCGCCCCCCTTGTGGCTGCTGTGCATTCATCTAAGAATATAATTGCTTGTATGTCTGTTTTTTCTAATTTTCTCCTCTTCGTTCCCCTGTTCTACACTACATCCTTCTTATAGCTGTCTTCCTTTTTTCATTCTTTCTTTGTGTATTTCAGGAATACCTTGGTAATGATCTACCATAATCACATGCAGAATGCAGTACCTCTGTCTATTGAATTTTAAGTATACATCATTAGCTGTCTTTTATGATCCACCTTAAGGGGACACTATAGTCACCAAAACAACTTTAGCTTAATGAAACTGTTTTGGTTCATAGATCATGCCCCTGCAGTCTCAATACTCTGTTATCTGCCATTTAGGAGTTAAATCACTTTGTTTATTAACCCTAGTCACACCTCCCTGCATGTGACTTGCACAGCCTTCCTAAACACTTCCTGTAAAGAGTCATCTAATGTCTATCCTTCCCTTATTGCAAGTTCTATTTAATTTAGATTTTCTTATCCCCTGCTATAATAATAGCTTGCTAGACCCTGTAGGAGTCTCCTGTATGTGATTAAAGTGCAATTTACAGAGCAAGAGATAAAAATTTTAAGGTAAATTACATCTGATTGAAAGTGAAAGCTTTAAATGCAGGTTGTGTCAGTCAGAGCCAGGGGAGGTGTAGCAAGGGCCGCATAAACAGAAACAAAGTGATTTAACTCCTAAATGGCAGTGAATTGAGCAGTGAAACTTGAGAGGCATGATCTATACACTAAAACTGCTTCATTAAGCTAAAGTTGTTTAGGTGACTATAGTGTTCCTTTAAATTGGCTTATATGGCAAAGTAATAAACACATATTTTCTCTGTAGAATTTATTTTCCAGTGTAGATATTGTTTCCTAATTGCTCAGTTACAAATAGAACAAGGTGAATTGCTTTAAAAAAAAGTGTAAGTGTTCAACACATATCCATCCGACTCCATGTATCAATGCTCATAAATAGAAGGAAAATGAAAAGAATAAATATGCAGCTTAATGTTTAAAAATGTGTGTGCCATTACACCATTTGCTCACTTAATCACTTGAATATACATCAAATACACCATATATCACAAAGATGTATGGTATAGTCAATGTAAAAAGTTTTACTTACTTTTCCTCCAGTGCTGGCTAGGGAGATTCCATAGCAACCACTGCATATACGCTGTGGTTGCTATGGGAGCAGAGCAAGCTCCTGTGGAGGTATTTTCTGCTTTCTCTTGTCAGCCAATGCAGAGGCATTGACTTACAGCTGGGAAAAACAACAACTTTTAAATAGGGTTTTCTCCTAATCTGTACAATATCTAGTAAAACTGCTAGCACACTATATAGATAAAATATCATGCTCAGTCTAATGAGCATAAGTTGTTTGGGGCATGACAGGTGCCCTTTAAGTGTTGATACATGACTTTTTAATTTGGATGACTAAACTGCTTTTTATGAGTTGGATGAACATATGTTTAATGCTTAATAACCAGAGCAAGTTGACCGGCTCTAAGCCAGGCATAGACAACCTTCTGCACTCAAGATGTTTTGGGCTACACCTCCCATGATGCTTTGCCAGCATTATGGGTGTAAGAGCATTATGGGGGATGTAGTCCACAACATCTGGAGTGCCGAAGGTTCCCTATCCCTGCTCTAACAAATACACTTGTACAATTAGAAGGTGATATCTTCACTGGAGAATACATTCTATACCTAGCACTGTTTATTTCTTTTTCATGTATGCCTGTTTACTCTTGATAATTTTGGATTTAAGAATACTTTCTTATATATATATTATACAGAGATCTTGCATTCTAAGAAGTGATTTAGTTTTTTGTTTTTGTTGCACAGTTATATTGATTCTCCATTCTTCACATATTGTTTTAATTATACATGCTGAGAAGTTCTTAAAATTAGGAGAGAAAAGACTAGATGGTCTTTTAGATGAAATGTGGTAAGTTGACTTTGGCTTGAAATTATTTTATTTTTTTCCCCCACTTATGTAATTTTTAGTCTAAATTTTATGATGTATCTGTCAGTCCACTGTTATTAGAGACCCCCTATGTTCCAAAATAAATGCAGTTCATTGGATAAATATGACATGTATGTATAAAGAGCAATTATGGAGAAAAATTGGAGCAGTCACATGGGTCATTCCATTGGTTTCCATAGTTACTTTACCACCTTTACATCTTTTTCCCCAGAGTTGTGCTTTGTCGTGTCATTGTCCCTGGATGAGAATTGTTAAGCGTTGGCAGCCAAGCCTGGGAATCCAGCTCTTAGTTTACAGAGCACGCTGGGCATTAAAGGAACAATGAAATAGAAATATTTTGATTCATGCATTTAGTAAATGGTGTACTTGGTGGTATTTTGTATGGGAAGCTCTGCTCCTTTCTACATGGAACACAGAAATGATGGGTGCCCACAAAAGGCCAAGACCAATTACAGCTGCCACAAAAAGTGCATTAAGAGTATTTCATTTATGTGCAGTGGCATACTTCATTAATGCCAAGGTTAAAGATTATAAACTATACTGTTCTTTTTCTAAATATGTTAACTGACAGTGCTTAACCCTTGTGAATGATGTGTGTATACAAATCTCTCATTCATTTAATTATTTCCTTTATGTTTTCTGTCATTTCTATGTAACATTTGCTCTTTCTTCCAGTCTGTATGCAGGTTTCTTGTATTGTTTCTCCTATTCCTGGAAATTAATGTATTATTGTCATTATGTATAAATAATCTGTTTACAAAAATAATCTTTATTTTATTACGATTTTTCACGGTCTTAAAAGGCATTGTACGCGTCTATTTAATATACAATAAAATCTGTCCTGAGACATTTATTTTACAGATTTTGTTTTGTTTTTTGTTTTTAAATCTCCCTGTAATTCCGTATTATGCTTTGTCAGTGCCGTCACTATGTCAATGTGTAATTGTTTGTGGTAATGGTCTAGTAGAGTAATGTATGTAAACAATGACATTATGAGAACTTGGAGAAAAAGATTAGAAAAGAGAGCAAGGAAAGTGAGAGGAAATAAAAATTGGCACATTAAAGATGTGGGAGAGAAATTAAAAGGTCCTCCAATAACTCTCGCAGATTCAGGCTCTTTAAAGCGACCCAGACCACTTTATCTAATTATAGTGGTCTGGGTGCAGTGTCCAAGTCCCACTTAGTCCTGCAATGTAAATCATTTTGTTTGCCAATTATGCCTACAATAACTCCTAAATGCATGTTCCGGGTGTTTCCCAATTCCTTTTTTTCTTTACGATAGTAACTTCTGAAACTTACAGCTCGGTGGCAGCACAAGCCACTAAGCTGTCTGCTTCATAGTGCTGAACCCAGATTGACCACCAATGTATAGCTCTTCTCCTCAGAGCTGCTACAGTTCCTGCATGATGGGAGGAGGGAGAGTTTCAGCTTCTCTCCTCCAGTTACACTGGCCTGTCATGGCTGCTGTATGGAGGAGAGATCAATGAGGCTGAAAGGAGCTGCAGAGATGGCTGAGGGCAGAGTGATACTGTGCCGACTGCTGTAACTCCTGGCAGCAGGCAGCACACTCTTCCTTGCTCCATTACTATGTAAAGTTATACTGCACACCATAATGGAGCAGGAAACCAGCATGGTGGCTGTCAGGGGTTAAAGCACACTATCACAACTACACAATGACACACACATACACACTGACCCATATCCACACCTTGATACACACACTGACAACACAGAGGAACCTTGGGGTCCTGCTAATGGGAGTGTGGGTCTGGAGCTGGCTCTCTCCTTGATCCAGCCCACTCCTGTGCCGCCTCATGCGTGTCTCCCTCTGTCATCTGACCTGCTTTCACTTCCTTCCAGCATCGCTGATACCACAGGAACCCAGTCTCATTGTTAAAGGGCCACTGCGCCCGACCGGGCCCTTGTTCAGCAATACCCATCGAGTAGTCCCAAGTGCACTGGACATCTGACGGGTCCTCTGAGGGTGCAGGCCCCGGTGCACCAGCGGTAGTTCCACCACTGATGTGCATGTATTAGTATGTGTGTCCAAAGAAGCAACATGGCTGCAATGAGGGTGATATCGTATGGGCAACGTTATGACAATACATATTATAATTATCCAATATGTATATTTTGACCTACAACACTGTTTCCTTGCCTGTTTCATTATTCGATAAATGATTTTTTAAAAAGGTTTTTCTGACCAACCTACAGTTTTGTTTTTATTTACTATTGTGCTCTCTATGCATACTGACATTTAAAAATACATTTAATCATTACGTCCCAGGACACCCAAATTCTGGAGGTGGTTTATTTATTTTTGCAAACCGCTTGTTATTGAAGGGGTTAAAGGAATACTATAGGGTCAGGAACACAAACATGTATTCCTGACCCTATAGTGCAAAACCCACCATTTAGGTGGCTTGCCCCTTAACCCCACCAGAATGGGTTAAAACTCACCTTATTTTCAGCTCTCTACGGGTCCGCTGGCACTGTCCCCGCCCCCTTGGTAACATCAGAATTGCTGATGCATTGGATTGGCTAAAATCTGCAATGGAGCGGGGCCAATCACTGTTTTGGGCAATCAGCACCTCCTCATAAAGATGCATTGAATCAATGCATCTCTATTAGGAAAATGTAGCATCTCCATGCAGAGCGTGGGGACGCTGAACGGCACTGCTGCCTACTGTGCAGCACTGAACCAGCAGGCACCTCCAGTGGCCATCTAAGGAGTGACTACTTGGAGGTGTCCCTAGGGGCAATGTAAACACTGCCTTTTCTCTGACTTGGCAGTGTTTACATGAAAATGCCTGAAGGTAATGATTATACTCTCACCAGAACAACTACATTAAACTGTAGTTGTTCTGATGACTATGATGGGATTTATTGTTTTTTCCATTAGTGTAACATAACGTAACAAAGTTTTTATAATGCATGGGCCAATTTGAGAGCATGGTTGGAAGTGCTGGGAATGGGCTTTTTTTTTTTTTTTAAGTTATAGAATGTGTTTTGTTCTTTGATGTATATCAATCTTGTCTCTAATGTGATAGCAATGACCCCCCCACACACACACGCTCTTAGTTCTTAGATATGTCAATACAAACCAACAAAGCAAAATGAATTGTGTTCCATTATCTGCAAGTTTTAACCATAATTCACAATACAACTAAATGCCCAAAAAGAAATAAAATGAAAACAAGCCAAAAAAAAATTAAAATGCTGTGGCAGAAAAAGGAGGGGGAGAGAAATTGGAAAACCGAAGGGAACAAGATCAAAACACAAAATGGAAATCTAAGACTTCCAATCCAGTTAAAGAAATAAAAAAAAGTATGCTTCGCCCATTATTTATAAACATTTTGGATTCATGTCAAGGTATTTCTGCCATATAGTGTTCAGTTTATTAATCAAGTAAATACCCTTTTTATGTAATCTTCTACTGTGACTATCTATGGAAGCTAATGCCCATCTGACTACTACTGTAATTTTACTGAACAATTTTTGATTAAGAGTTAAAATGTAGACTGGCCTAGACCATAAATACGACCAGTCATCGACCGCAAAAGGTCTATGGAAAAACATCAGACAGTAGCCTTTGGATTTGGTCCCAGAAATGGAACACGTGCATTTTAATGCACTTGAAGACAATTAAAATAAAAATTTGCATTAATTAGTTTTTTATATTTAGAATCCAGTGGTCCTAAATTCTTACGTATTCTGGAGCTTAGCTGATCCAGACCCTGCTCATGCTAGGCATAGAGAAGCGTTGTGACACAAGTAGAACATTTGGAAGCTATAGAAAGGTTACATGGAAATTGGTATATGTGTGTGTACATAAGTATTAGTATCCAGTATCATTGCACACTGCAATATTTTGGCAATCTATATGGAAGTATGGTGTATATTACAAGGAAAATTTAAATGTTTGTGACTTATTCCAGCATAGTGTATTTTATTTTTTATTTTGTATTGAGATTGCAAAGCATAGTATTTCAGAATTTGTATTATACAGAAACACCTATATAGTGGATAAAACACTCAGTGGGTAACAGAAATACAATTATAAGATTTACCTTATTTGACTGACAGTATGTACATAAAGGACTCCTCCAGGTCCTCAATACAAAGAATAGCAAAATACCAACAGGTTATCTACAATACAATAATAACAGAAAAAAATGGGGCAATATTGCAAGTATAACCTGGATTGTGAAGAGAAAAAGATATTCACTCACAAAACCAGGTTGATTGAAGGCATTTCAAACAGATTTTGAAACCGCCTCAGGATATTATGGACATCGATTCATGTAAAGAAAGGAAAAACTAATAGTGCAGTTTCTCATTAGAAGACACTTTTTTTTTTTTTTTTTTTAAATTACAATAAACACTTACAAGATAAATGTAGTCCACATGCACATCACAATCTAGCAGGAAGATGGTAGGTTTCGGCCTTTGGATACAGATGTGGAACAGTATGAACTACCAAGGTAGAAGGTGAGTGTGGTACAAAAACTATAATAAAAATAAAACCTACAATGAAGGAGAAACTGTTAAAAGAAGTCCTACGTGTTTTATTAAATTCGACTTGAAATTCTTTAGAGGCACAGAATAAAAGTCCTTTTCTTTCAGCAGCATACTGGCATAAGTCTGGTAACCGGTATTTCAACCGGCGGAGCGTTGGCGCCAAATTAAACCAATCTACATTTGGGCACTTTCATGTGCGTTGTTATTCCAGCGCTTCTGGGTTCGCGGGTCAAGCCTTAATATTCGCGTCCAGCCGTAATGACGTCAGAGTCAAACCTTGCGATGCGTTCCAATTTGTGGCATGCATTCCAACGCTCGTAAATGAGCATATTGTCCATAATGTAACAATGTAAAACAAGTATTACAAAGGGGATATTAGTGCCCATGAATATACACCTAAATATATTAATGAAATGACATTAAACAGAATATATCATAAAATATCTAGAAAAATTTATAATACAAAATTAGGCAAGTATAAAAGGTGGTCCAAAGATAAACATATGGAAAAATCAAGAGATGAAAAAACCCTTATATGAAATAAAATGGGGAATATATATTCAAATCTATGTAGAATTTCATATTGATAGAATATTTTAAAAAATGTTGTTTTTTTAAAAAAAGAATAAGGGAAATACATAGGAATGAGAGAAGTGGATCCAAGGGATTATAAAAAGCACATCAAATCAAAGTCAACATTTAGACCTCTTGGTTGCATAGTTTTTATTATATGTATCCAATACTCTTCTCTTTTTCTTAGATGAATCATTAGGTCACCGCCTCTCTCGTTTAGGGTGGCCTGTTCAATCACTAGACATTCGAGATTATTGATATTAATAGTGGGCATTTATTACAGTTTACCGGTACTGAATGGGACATTTTATTTTTGATATTATTCTTGTGTTCCATAAATCTCACTTTTACTTTCCTTCCCGTCCTCTTCACATATTGTGCATCGCATCCACAGGTAAGTAGGTACACAACATGTGTGGAGGAACAGAATATGGAGCACTTGATCTTAAATGTAAAATCTCTAATATTTTTTAAATTGATGATTACAGCTTTTACTGTTTCCACAAGTGTGGAAACCTTCCTTTTGGTTTACTTATTTCCTTTTATAAATGGAAAGTGCTTGGTGCTAGAAAAATTAGTGCCCTTCCTAAAAATGACCGTTGGAACCTGCGGAATTTCTTATAAAAATCAATCTTCCACAAGTAACCCCCAGTGCTTTTTAATAATCTTTTCTATATTAAAGGCTCTGGAGTTATATTGGGTGTTAAAGGCAAAATCGAAGATGGGATTCCTTGTCGTGCCATCTTTCCTTTT